AAGAGAGGACACTATGAACATGTCTAGGGAAGTATCAGATCTTGGGCATATTAAAATCGAGAGTCAGGAGTGCATCCCACCTAATGAGTCCCCAAAAGGCAATACTCGTGAATGGAAGACAGATAGACCTACTGGAGATCCGGATTCATTTGTAACTAAATGTCAAAGTTCTAGAGATAGAATTGGCATAATTCAAGAAGAATTAATTTATTCAGTACCAGTTGAGGCTGTCCACATTCATGTTAATGATAATGTTCAAGAAGCAGAGAAGTCTTATGAGCAATGTTCAGTTACGACCTCTGCTGCTGAGAAATTCCCTGATGATATTTCCACAAGCATGCTGACTTGTGTAGAGAATTCTTTGGCTCAGCAATCCAGCATGTTTGTTGCAGAGCTTCAAACCGCCAATGACCTCTCATACCAGATGGATGGTTCCTCTGTCTCCAATTTGTTACCTGATCAAGTAACTGCAGTAACCGCGAATAAAGCTCCTGAATGTGAACATGTTCTGGATAAAACTTCATCAATTAAACCACATTTTGATACCAGTTCTGCTAGTCAGCTACCTTTGACCTCACAAATTTTATCACAATCTCCAGTACCGAAACCATTATCTGCTACTGCTCCAGTTTGTGCTATTGATGATGCCCATTCTCTTAGAGAACTGCCTCCTCCGCCACCTCTCATAATTTCACGTGTAGCTAGTGCTGAGGTTCCAGTGCCTGCCCCTTATAATTTTGTGTCACAAAACGTTTCCTTTCCTTCTAAATCTTCACTACCAGGAGGTTTTCATCCTCATCAAGATTTGGTATCCATTCAACCATCTCATTATCACAGTACCTCTTTACTGCCTCCGAAACCATTGTATGATTCAACATTGACTCCTGTAACTACCAAAGATGGTATGCCAATGCAATTTCATCAGAGTCATTTGTCTCAAGGAAGTGATCTGGGTTCTCAGTCTGTTAAGAAATCCCAGCCATTGGAGTTGCATTCTCATTCTAAGCTCGGTGAGTCCCCAGTTCAAGAGCCTTATCGAGCCCCAATGCACATGGATGAAGTTAGACCAATTGCACCAGTTGCAAACAATCAACCTAGTCAACCTTTTGGATTCCCAAGCTTTCAGAATGAAGAAAACTTTGGGCGGACTTCTGTGGAGACAAATTGTTCAAGTTTTTTTCCTCACCGCAACTTTAATGATCATTCTGTGCTCTTTACAAATGCAAATATAATGCAATCTTCTGGTGACAAATTTCCTCCTAGTGAATTTCAAAGTTCATTTTCACAGTTGCATCCTTATTCACGGTTTCAACAGCCATTGTACACCTCACAACCTGCACATGATAGTTTGTTCCGTGAACCAAGCCAGATTGGTAGTATGTTTCGAAATTATCCCGATCCTCTAAGCAGGAACCATTCATCTTTGCTTCCTGATTTAGGGGGTTTGGGAATTACCTCTTACCATAATCCTTATGCATCTACTTTTGAGAAGCCACTTAGCTCCAGCTTCGGATCTAACATTTTGAACTTTGGAAATGATGCACCTAGTGGTGATATACGTAGTTCTACTTTCAATGTGAGCAATGTTCACGTTGATGGGCAAGGTGCTAATTATGTTGGAACGAGGCAGACAACTACTTCACCAAATTCCACCAAACCTTTGGGGAAAGTCTTGCCCAGTACAGGTGGTGATCAGTATGATCCACTCTTTGACAGCATTGAGCCATCATTACCTATATCCAAGAAATCTGATTGTGGTCAGAAGCTGGAAAAAGAAAGGGAATCTTATACGATGACAAGCCTTGGTAGTTCCCATAAATTACTATATGTGGAGGAGAACAAGCATACAGAAGTTGCCGCTGTGGCTTCAACTACTACTCTGGAGAATGATGAATTTGGAGAGACAGAAGATGCAGAGGCTGGTGCTGTTGAGAATGACCTTGACGACGAAGAAAATTTATCAGGAGAAATCGAAATTGATCAGGTTAAGTCCTCAGAGAAGAGCAAGAAGTCCAAAGGTTCCAGGTCACTGAAGCTTTTCAGGATTGCTATTGCCGATTTTGTTAAGGAAATTTTAAAACCATCATGGCGGCAGGGCAATATGAGCAAGGAAGCTTTTAAGACAATTGTCAAGAAGACTGTTGACAAGGTATCTGGAGCTATGAAGAGTCATCAAATACCCAAGTCTCAAGCAAAGATAAATCGATACATTGATTCATCACAACGAAAACTGACAAAGCTTGTTATGGTGAGATCCCTTTCTCTCTTAAAAGAATTAAAGGATTATGGTACTTATAAGTATACAGTCAATTCGTTTACAATTCCATTTGCCTCTTGAAGCTATGAAAAATCTTTCGTCAATAGATAAATTATTGATTACAATTTGTTGGCTAACGTTTGAAATTGAGAAGGAAAAACAGTAACAAACTACTATAGCACCTTCTTGGTGAACTTTGAATCTCATGAAGCATATTTTTTCTCGAACATTTTCATTATCTTTATAGCAAAAAGATAAACAATTTAGCCTCAGGAACTTGTTCCCCTTTGACTACTTCAATCTTTAACAATAAGTAAAAACAAACTTCGATGAATTAGTTTTTCATGTATGAATGTATTAGGTTTTACTTGATTATTTTCAGAAAACGTGATCGGTAGATGGCTAAAGTTAATTTCCAAAAATGTTATATTAACACGGCAACAAATTATGGCCTTTTTATTATTTGTGCCCATTGGAGAGGAGTTCTGCTGCTCTTGGATTATTTGATCCATATTTCTAGCATTAATATTTGTCCTTGTACCATATGCAGGGTTATGTTGACAAGTACGTTAAGGCATAGAACATGATGAAGTCTGCATCCCAATGTGTTGGACTATGAAAGCAACATTATTATGGTTGTTTCTCTCCTTGTTGGGTGGATATCAGGAATTATGCATTCATCTTGGACATCTGCAAGGGATGGATAGGTGATAGTTCCACGGTGTTGGTTGAAATGTCGGTCAGAGGTCATGGTCCTGTGGATGCTGGAGAATTGATGAAGCTTGCAATATGCTGAGCATCATGACATAAGTTCTTTAGCATATGATTCTCATTAATTCCTGAGGTTGCAGCAAAATAACATGTATGTAATTTGTTTTCCTGTAAAATATTTAGTAGCCTTTTTGTACTTTCTAGATATACAATTGTTGATGCAGTAAATGTTTGCAAATGGTTGGTGTGGAATTTTCCTTTTTTTAAGTTGTATAAGTTATAGAAAATACTGTAGTTTGTTTGCAAACACATTAGAGAAGTGTTAATTTGGTGAGTTAGCTAGGAACTTGTTTCTTCAAGGGATTTATTAAAATTTGCTTTAGATTTTGATCGTGTTAAATGAATACTACTTATCCTTTGTCCTTGGGTTTACTGCAGGAAACAACTAAGTGATGTGATATTACTTTGAGCTTTATGAAAACTCTGTTCATGCTTCTGGTTTAACGACCTATTGAGGAACATTGCATCATCCCTCAACCATTTAATGACCATTGACTTCTTTAGAGTTGCATTTTGCGGACGAGTTTAATGGTATAAGGTATGTTTAGGAGGAGCAAATTGTATTAGTACTGAAACACGTTTGCTTTTGTACTTACTGTAGACCATTACTTCAGTAGGATGAGTATGTATGTTCAAAGTTTTGGGTCAAGTGTAGGTCATGTCTGTATATACCTTGTGTTAACAATAACAAGAAATGTCCACTGTTGAGCTTCTAAATGACAAGTTGTTTCACAATTTTAATAACTTTTCGAGATGAGCACCGAAAAATAGATGAGTTTGTGCTAACTTCTTGCGAAATAGATTAGATTTTGGGCATTGTTTTCAGAAAGCTTGATGTTGAGCTTTGCTTTGTGGTCCTTATTCTTTTATCTGCAACATTTTGACTATGCTAGGGAAACAGGATAGACCAGCCACCGAGTTCGTTACTCTTCGATTTTGGTCTTGTAGCTGGAGAATCCTGAACTTAAATAGACTTATGGCCTCTGTGGATGGAATTTGACTGCCCTGTTTTATCCAAACCTGGCTTTCTGTTTTCTGGAAGACAAGCTAGAGAGGACAATATTGGCAGTTGAACGTGTTAATGTCAAGCCAGAGAGGACTGCTTGGGTCAGGCTGTTCCATTTTTTGCCTTTGACAGTTTGAGATACAAGTTTGACTGTTGAGCTTCCTTTTCCCTTGAACTGAAGGATGACGATTCTCAAAGATTTACCTTGTTCTTAGAGCCACAAGACACTCAAGTTACGACACGGCACGACACGACACACGTTTTCGGACCGTGTTTAGTCATGAAGTGATAGAGTTTCCTCTAGTCGGAACCCGATTGCTGACATCAAAGGCTCTAGGATCTTGCTTCTTGGTGTTTCTAAGATGGGTTCTGCCAGCAAAATGTGTTGTAACTTAATTTTGGTTGAAGAGGGAATAGGATTCACTTGGATTGTGAAGAACCAATAGTTTGGAGGAATTCCTTTTATGTTGTACCACCTGATTCATTTCTTTTTCTAACGTGTATGAGCATAGTTTGATGATTTAGATAAATTCTACCTTAAAAAGGGTGGATTTATTGTAATATTTGAGAAACAAACTTTTATAAATATTATTTATATGGCTTCTCAACATCTGAGCTTTTAGCATCAATTTGTAACTAAATTTCTAATGATTCTTCATATTTTTACTCTACATTTTTATCCATGTTTTGTAGAATTTTGAAAGAAACTCCAATTTTTTAAACGATGATAAGAAACTTAGTTATTGATACATTTATATTTGTCTTGTAATGTATTAAGTTCAACATAAATCTTTGAGAGTTAGTTAAATAAATGTTCCAAAGTTATTTATAAAATATACATAAATAAAATAAATCTCACTCCAAAGGATGTTTGGTGACTCGGATAGTACAACCTTCAGGAGAATTTAACGAAACCGGACCGGATTATCTTTATCCAGGGACACCGCATAAACCCGGTAAATCTCAAGCTCGCAACCTACGATGAAAAAAGTGTGGAGGCGGGGCGGCTCGCGGGAGTTCAACTTCTACTTTTACATAATCTCTGCTTTATGCTTACATCACTTCTTTTCTTCTTCTTCTTTTACAAGTTCATAAGTATTTCTCTGCGCTTCTTTCAGATCCTGACGACCTTCGGCTTCTCAAGGTTACTTTTATCTTCTCTGACCTTCGTTTTCCATTTTTGTTTTTGCTCTTATTGTCGCTATGTATCACTTCGACAAGCGCGGTTCATTAGCTGAATCTGGAAAAATGTTCGTTTAGTGATTAATGATGAACGAATCGATAATTTAGCCGCCTTTTGATGTTGAACTCTGCTACCGAGTACTGGCATTCTTCTCCCCGTTCTTAATGTTTATTCTTGTCTTTATCGCAATGACCTACTTTTCAGTTGCGTGAGAGGAATTCTATTATATGCACGGTTCGAATACTTTTATATTGTTGATTTGGTTTGGTGTCGATGGTAGAGCTGAGACATGATCGTGCTCTACAACATCTAAGAATTAGTCGTCTTCATTTTGGAGAAAAAAACTTTCGATTTGGTTTCTTTAGTCTATTATTGAGTCTGAAAAATAGTTGATAATACTGTGTATTGAAAATGTGAAGGACATGCGCACAAGGACATTGAGACATGCAGAATAATTGGCAGTTAACGACTTAAATTCAGAACATCTGATGCACGTAGGTATAACTTATTCATTTAGGCTACTTCTTTGAATTTTACATTATCCGGATGCCTCGAGTGCATTATCTTTCTATATTTGTAGTGTTTTCATGGTAGTGTACACTGTACGTGACTTTATCTTCTAAGGTAGGATTTTCATTTTACTAATAATGTTGGCTTCTCTCGATATACTTTTGAGATGGCTTTTGAGATGGTAAGAAAAAGCAGTTCTGAGTTTTTTATGTCAGATTGCATTGCCATTTCACCTCATATTAGTTGTTATGAGAACTTCCATTTTTCTTTTGGAAAATTCATTTGTTCCATGCTTCCCTCTGTTTTCTATGAAAACTATATGTGGCTTACTCAAGGGCAGAGAAAACTTGAGTTTTTCCATTTAAGATGTGTTTTACACTATTGGAATAGTTTTCTTTTTATTACAAATGTAATTCATTGATGAAATGAAACAAAATGGGCTTGATGCCTCATAAACCCAAAGGAGTCAAAAAAATATCCGTCATGCACATGAATCTTTGGGAGCTTGTAACTTGTGGATCCATTTTTATACAATATGCTTTTGTCCATGTATCACATGTTTTGAAGTCTTTCCTGTTTTCTTCATTAGTACATGTAGAACTATTTCAATTTTCAATTGAAAAGCTGGACTTATATCTCATAAAGCTTATTGGATTTTTTTCGTATGTTTTTTTCTTTTCTTTTTGTTGCTGCTACTGAAGTTTACAAGGAATCAAAGGATGGGATTCTGGAATTACTAATACCATATACCTTCACAAGCTCATTAGTCTTAAGCTTTGAAGAAGACAGATTCTAGGAAGACCCCTGACTGAGAATGTCGGGGTTTCTAGGAGTGTTCATATTTTTCCTTTGAAGTTAATTTTATCTGTGAAATTACACTACTGTAGATTAGAGCAGGTGATGGAAATGGCTGTTTGTAATGCAAAAGCTTGTTTGGAAAAGAAAAGGAAAAGAAAGAAAAGAAGGAGGGGTAACGCCACTAGAGGTGGTCACCGAGGTTGTGATCCTGATGAAAATGATGCTTCAACAGAAAATAATGTTTCTCAAGAATCTCCAAAAAAAATGTGTTTAAACATGAAGCCAGAAATAGGACAATCTCATTTTGAAGTAAATATACTAGGGGAAAAGAATGAGAAGAAGCACTATGATTTACAATGTGGAGAAGCATCTGGAATGTCCGTCTTGACCCTATTGAACGTTGAAGTTCTTAAAGAAGATGATGAAGCATCTACTTCCCCAAATGCAGATGTTTATTCAGCAGATGGAAAGGAAAATTCTTTAGTTCCCGAGGATCCAGATGGGAAAGGTACTAATATGGTTAAACGAGATGATGAGAATACAGAGACTGTAGGTCATTCAACTCCTTCAAGCCATATCAAAACCCAAAGGATAAGGAAAAGAAAGCGTCGTCGTGGAAAGGGAAGGTCCTTAGAGTCCCCTAAAAAAAATTTGGAAACCAATGTGGAGGACGAAAAGAAAGTTTCTCTATTGAACCACCCTCATGAAGAGGAGACAAATGACCACCTTAAAAATTTTGTAACAGAAGAGGTTACGAATGGGGCTTTGTTGGAAGAATCAGTTGACTGCTCAATTAGTGAAAAAACAGAGTTGTCTGCAAATACGAAGGAAATCTCTATGGTTATTGCAGATCCTCATAGGTCCAAGGATTTTGAAAATGCTACCATGATTAAAATACCTGATGACTGCTTAGAGACTAAGCATTGTTTTGCTCAATCAAACAGTGATGATACCCGTGGCAAAAGAAGAAGAGTGAGAAAAAGAGGTCAAAGAAGGAGAAAGTTTGCAGGTTCCTTTGAAGGAAGTTTGAATTCTGAAGTGGAAGACAATAATAAAGATGCTGCATTCAACTGTTTAAATGAAGTGCATGCAACTAGTTTGCATGAGCAATCTACCACCACCAAGATAGTTAAAAAGGTTGTGGCGGAAGAAATGTCAGTCGACTGCTCTGTGGGTGTAATTACATCAAATGTGAAGGAGAGAGAAGAAACCTTAAAGAAAAAGATTCCTCGTTTTTTGTCTTGTGATGCAACAAATGGTAACAACAGTGCAACTGGTTTTACAAAGAAAAATCTTCTCATACTTGATGTAAATGGACTACTCGTAGATTTTGTTCCATATTGTCCACGTGGATACACTCCGGACTTTGTAATATCACGTAAAGCAGGTGAAAGAAAACACATCTAGATGTGGCCTTAGTGTTAATGAACATCAAACTCATATTTACTTGGCTATATTATTTCTTTTTTCAGTGTTTAAGAGGCCCTTCTGTGACGACTTTCTAAGCTTTTGTTTTGAGAGATTTGAAGTGGGGATATGGTCATCGAGAACCCGGTAGTTCAACCTAAAACTGGTTAATTGATTGCTGTTTCCCCTTATAATAGTTTTAAATATGATTTCCAGTTGTTTTTCTTTCTGGTGCATGTCTAATTTTGGCTTTAGCTTCAAAATCTTAGCCCTGATGCTATTCATATCCTTACTCATGTTATTTTCTGCAGGAAGAACCTGAGTATGTTAGTTAAGTCTCTTATGAGAGATTCCAGACACAAGCTACTTTTTTGCTGGGTAAGCCAAGTCATATTTCCACAAAAGTAGGAGTATGCATCACCTTGCTACTAAGGAATTGTCGGGTTGCTTTTACATGTTAACTTTGCTTACATTCTTCTTAACCATTTTTTCTTGATTTGCTTGCCAACGATGTTGAATTAGCAATGGTGGAATACATTTTTTTTTAACTGGAAATTGGCATATGCATAACCTGATTAAAACTAAAGTTGTGTTTATTTTGAGCTTTGATATGAAAATTCAAGGTAAGAACATTAAATGTTAATTGTGGTGCTTGGTAAATGAAGTAGAAGCAACCTAGATTCAAGGGATTTATGTAACCTACTGATTCTTTCTTTTTTTTTTTGGTTGAATCAATTACCTGGATTTCCCCTCCTACAAGTTTCATGCTCTTCTATAACAATGCTAAGATGGTTGATACAGGATCAATCGCACTGTACAGCTACAAGGTTCACCACTATTGAGAACAATAGGAAGCCCCTCGTTTTGAAGGAACTGAAAAAAATATGGGAAAATTTGGGAACGAATCTTCCATGGAAAAAGGGGGAGTTCGATGCATCAAACACTTTACTGTTGGATGATTCCCCATACAAGGCCTTGCGGAATCCAGTTAGTTGAAAACTTCTACACTTTCCTCATTCGAGGATATGAACTCTTTCAATTTCTTTTAAGCTGATTAATAGTTTGTTTGTCTTGGCTTGTCATCATTTTCAGGCTAATACTGCAATATTTCCTACTACGTATCAGTACAAGGACAGAGATGATACATCATTAGGTATGAACCATGCCACGTGTGATGCCCTTGTATCATATGCTTTCATTCTTGCTAAATGAAAGTTTGGTTCCTTATCCCCCCCCCCAAAAAAAAAAAAAAAAAAAAAAACTGTGCCACATGCATAAGAAGCTGAAGCTTTAGTTGAATTGTTATATACAGTTGAAGAATAGTGTAGGATGTTTTATATACGTAGCTGAGAACGTCTGGGCATGCTTGCACTTTAATATGCATTTGAAGAATAGTGTAAGATGTTTTGTTTAATTTTTACTTTTATTATTTTGTTGTTTCTCTTCAACCATAAAAATTTACACAAAATCTATGATGAAATTGCACCGTTCTTGTTGTTGTTGAGAAACAATGTCACTGATTAAATGAAATGTACGATAAAAGGGCTCACCACGGAGGTTACAAAAAGCTCTTCCAACTACTGCAAATAGTGTATAGATAGAATAGTAACAACGTCTTACACCAAGTGTTGAAAGAAATGCTCTTCCAAGTGTCACAGATTCTTTTAAAATGCATATGAAATATTTTTCATTTGATGAAAATTTTATTTGTTTTTAGATTAAAATTAAGATGATTTTTGAAATATGCATGAATATCGATTTTCTATGAAATGGAATTGCTCTATACTGACCCCTGAATGTTTCTTAGCCATCCTGGGCGGTCAATTATGAATGTCCCAAGGATCCGTTACAGGCTTTGGAAATTCCATCTTTTGTTCCTGCTGTAACCGCAGTTTTTTTTTTTTTTTTTTCTTTGGTTATTACTGTTAATCTTTTCCCAATGTATTATTTAACATTGAGTCTTCCGCAGGACCTGGTGGTGTTCTTCGCACTTATTTGGAGGGTTTATCTACTGCAGAAAATGTTCAAAAATATGTTGAACGGAATCCATTTGGTCAAAAACCCATTTCCGAATCTAGTCCATGTTGGAAATTCTACCGTAGGATTATAAATAATGAGAAGGGACGACGATGATTTAGGTGTTCATTGGCTCTAGTATGAAGTCTGTTCTAACTTCCAAGTATATGTAGCTCTTATTCTCTGGAGTCATTTCCGTGACAGGATTCCCACATGCTGATGATTAGTTCTCACAAAGTACGTGGCCATATTTTTAAGATTGGTTCACATGGTTATTTGCTATATAGTAGTTCATCATCCGCTGCCATATTTGGTTAACCGTTGCTTGTCTTGCAAGATTAGAAGAGCCTTTTATCCCCTCTACACATTTCATTAGTTTCATGTTTCTTTGTGGCAAATTTTGAAAACTAATCCGGTGAGTACATATTCACCGTTTTTCATAAGGATATTTTCTTGTAGTTGTAGGTTACGAGCATACAGAGAATATTTAGAGATACACAGCTAGAAATCCAGTTTACTCTAGCCAATACATTGCACTGTATTTTGTAATTTTTTGAAACGTTTACTACTGGTAGCTGAAATCTATTTCTGACAAGGGGATGGAAGATTCGTAGCGCAATGTTATGACAAGGATGTAGTTTGATTCATTTAGGACACTTTTGCAATGTACTTTGACGATTATGAAGATTAAATCTGAACTCTGCAATGCTTGGTTATCTCACATATCTTTAGATTTATGGGTTATCTCTACAAAGCCATCTGACTTATATGCTATACTTCCATCTCTTGCTCTTAAATTTCTTTGTTCAGGTTTTGAGTTCAAGACATTATAGAAGCTCGTCTGCAGGAATTTGATTTGTTCTGTTGATGTAAAAGTGAAGAATTCCTGAATATTCCAACTCATTGCAGGCTTTTTCATATGATACCAAGAAATATTGATTCTGTGGTTTCTACCACAATTACCCAGGTGGGTGGCTTGCCATCAAAAGAAGGGTTCAGCCCTGCAAGAGCTTCCTCTCTTCAAATAGGGAAAAAATTCACATCCCAAGCTCATATTCGATGCTGTAAATGAGATACTTATTTAGTGGGCAAAATATTTTGAAACAAATGTTATGAAATAGGACAGTTTCAAGCTAAGAAGTTTGAATGCACTTCGACCAAGACAAGGATGGCTCAAAAAGCAATCTGCATGCGTCAATCAAGGAGTTGGACAGATTATCGTGGTAACGTTTATGATATTGTGTTAGATGTCGAGCAATCGATGTCAAATACTTGGCGAGGCAAAATAACCATATGGTATGCATTGGCAATGGCTAGTTTGCTTGCATTCTTACTGTTTTTTCATACTTGATATTTGCTTTCTTACAGTGAAACATGAACTTCTGCTTTTTCTGCACTTCTAACTGTTACTTGTTTCAGAGTACACAAATGGAAAAGCCATAGTTCAAGGGAGAAGCTTTTGAGTTTTCTTTGCTTGTGTTAGAAAAAGGAGATCCCCTGCAACAAATATGGGCTGTTTTTTGTAAGAGCCAGAACAGAAATATGTTCAAAATACAGCCATTTTAAAAGAATACAATACATGCCTAACATAAAACACTAAATGATGAATCTTTTGTTCTTTCACACAGCAGAGGTGGGAAACAACGAGTGAGTAGTCACACAAATTTGAATAATGAGATGGGAAAAGGCATCAATCCCCATGCCTCCCACAGCATGCAAACCAAAAGCCTAAGGCCACAGCTAAAGCAATGATCGAGAGGAGAGGTGTCGTCGGTGACGTTTTTTTCTTCTCGAAAATTGTGCTTGTTTTCTCTTCCTCTCTAAACATTAGACTTTCATAATATAAACACTTATTTATGGATGAGAACCGTATTTAACCATAATTCATTTATAAACAAAGCTAGAACCATTAAAAAAAAAATTAATTTATAAGGTAAAGGTTAAGTTAATCACATGAACATATCATTTTTTTTTATCAACCTGAACATAGAATCGTTCATACCTTGCTCGCTCTTTTCTTCCTTCTCTTCCTATCTCTAGAGAGGTGATAGAGAAGGACCACTTATATATGTTTTTTCATTTTTTAGAAGAAAAAAAATGATGGGGACAGTGACAGTGGAGAGGGGATTTGTCGAATGCAACAAAACATATATGTATTTAGGATTAATTTATGTGTTCCAGTGTTGTCTTGGATCTTGTGACCAATGTTGTTGCCTGTGAGACACATTATTATCTTTCATTCTCATATCTCATAAAGAAGAAACTGCACATTCTAAACTTACCCATTTTTCTTCCTTTCTTTTTCTTGCTGCACAATCTTCCACTGCCTTCCCATTTTTACAATATACATATATATAAGGTAATATTATGTTGCAGTTTTCAAAGCTTTGCCTTTTGGTCCTTCTCTGTCCCTACAATATTTATGAGGAATACGTCTCTTATTTACTGTCTTCTACAGTTTGCAACTGTTCATCTTAGATGATTCTCTGTTGTTTTTTCCTTGTTTGTTACAACAAAGTAACGAAGTGTCGGGAAAAATTCATTGAGTGATTGTAAATCAACAAACTAGTAGCCTTTCCACAAGCTTAACCCATCATATTGTTCTGTGTTCATCACAGTTTCAATCCATTTCTTCTTTTTGATCCATTGAAACCTTCCAAAAACATGCTAAATGTGTTTATAGATCCTTCTCTTTTTCAAACCCAAGCTAGGAATCACATACCTGTACATGACTTTGCTTTTAGTTTTCTAAAATGTCTCGTACCTACCAATGGAGATGTATTCCTTACTTATAAACCTTCGACTATTCCCTTAATTAGCCAAGGTGGGACTCCCTCTTAACTAACCTAACATATAAAAGCTAACATTCAAGAAGAAGAGTAAATCTTGCATACAATCTATTTAATTAATTAATATATAACATTCTACAAGCTCTTCTCAACAAAGCTTGCATTCTAACTTGTATTTTGAAGAATCCAAAAGCGCTTAACACATTACATTGCATGTCTAATTGAATATAGCTTACAATACCTTTTCCCTCTAAGGATGAACCACTAGGGATACATAATTCTCCTCTCCTTCCTTCCTCGCTCTGTCCTTATCTGCCTCGGCCGTTCTATGAGTCACCAGCCGCCCCATCTTTGTTGGAGCGGTCGGCGCCATTACCGTCAGCTGCATGAAGAAGCTGCTTGAAGTTGAAGCTTGCAGCTGAAAAGGGTTTCAAGTTCTGTGAAGCAAAAGGGTGAAGAGCTGAAGGCACAAAGGGATTAGACAAAGCATGGGAATTTGAGCTCAAGAAATGGATATGGCTTTCAAATGGGTTGGTAATATATGAAGCATAGGGAGTAAAGAAGAGTGCAGAAGCAGAAGATGAACTTGTTGGAGCCTCAATTTGTGATGGAAAAACTCCATTATTGTTCCCAAATTGAGAAGAATTGTAACTATTGTAAGGTGTAAAATTGTAATCTTCTACATGTTGATTACTACTTCCATCAATCCACTTCCCTTTAGTTAATGAAGAAGCTTTTCCTTGTAACGCTAAATCCATATCCCAAATCTTCGTTTTTTCAACCGCCGTCGACGAAGAATCGCCTTTCACGTTGACGGCGAAGGGCGGAGGGAGCGAGTTACAAAATTGGGAAGAAGAAGAAGAAGAATGATGATGATGATGATGTTGATCATCATATGGAGGGAAAAACATCTGTTGGTGAAACGGAGAGAACCCGGTTGGGATCTGCAACGGTGGGAGCTTGTCGATATCGAGCTTGGTGACGTCGAGGAGCCAGTCGATGACCTTACTAGGTTGGCCAAGTTTGAGCTTGTCTTGAAGATCATAGAGTTGAATGGCGGTAGGGACTGATAGCCTTATCCTTCTATCTCTCAAGCCCCTAATGGTACAAACTTTGCTATGTCTATCTTTGCCACCAAATGAACGAGAAACTCTCACAATTCTTGGGTTTCTAAACCCTGACCATTGACTAGAGCTTGTTGGAGCCTTGGGGAACCTATATTTTCCTTCTTCTTTTGATTCAAAACCCTTTTCTTTTGAATTTCTCAACATGTTTGAATTTTATGGTTTCTTCATTGTTCTTGAATCAATCAATCAATCTTCAAAAAAATCAAATTAAATCTGAAAAAAAAAAAATTAGGGTTGTTGTTGGAAGCCTTGAAGAAATATAAGAACATGTATAAATGTAAAACAAGGGAATGATGAACTTACATTTGAAGGTGTGACCAGAAATCAAGAGGAGGTTGAAGAAGAAAGATCAAAGCTTTGACACAAGAAATGACAGTGTGATGGGTAAAGCAAAGAAGATGCCTACAGGAGTTTATTTAACCTCTCCCATCTTGCCTATATGTCAAAGGATAGAAAAGGAAAAGGTAAGGCGTGTTTTCGACCACGTGGCACGGGCTTTTTCAACGACACGTTAACAAAATAGACCGAGCACGAAGGAGTTTCCTCTTCTCAATGCGTATCTCCAAAAGTGTGATATCCCACGTCAGTTGAGGAGGAGAACTAAACACTGTTTATAAGGGTGTGGAAACGTCTCCCTAGTATACGCATTTTAAAGCCTTGATGGGAAGCCCAAAGAGGAGAATATCTGTTAGTGGTTGGTCTAGGCCGTTACAAATGATATTAGAGCCAGACACCGGGTGATGAGTCAGCAAGGAGGCTATTCCCTGAAGGGGGGAAGACACGAGGCGGTGTGCCAGCAAGGACGCTGGGTCCCGAAGGGGGGTGGATTTGGTGGGGTCCCACATCAATTGGAGAAAGGAACGAGTGACAGCGAGGACACTGAGCCCTGAAGGAGAAGGGAGGGAGAGAAAACAAAGACAAAGACTCCTACTTCTTTCCCTCTTTAGGACCATTGATTATTTTTTCTATCCTTCTCCCTAATATACTCATTTTAAAGTCTTGAGATGAAGCCCAAAAAGGACAATATCTGCTAGGGGTGGGTCTAGGCTGTTACAAAAAGGCTACAAATCCACCCCAGTTTTTGAGAATTGATTCGAGAACGATGTCACTATGTGACTGATAGTTTTGCACTGTTGGATATATGAAAGAGAAATCGATTATCTCGAGTTTGTATCTAATGGTTTTTAAGAAGCATATAAATTTTAGAATCTCCGTAGAACGGTTAAATAGTTATTCCTATTTTTACGACTCGATTCATTAATTATCCACTGGTATAGGGTATAAATATATTAACTCATCACTAAAAAATTATACAAAGTTCCTATGGGGACCATTCAAAATTAAACCAAGAAAGAAAGTAAAAGGGGTAGCCTTTTTCAGCATTTACAAACAGCTTTATTGATTTGTTTAATACATCATGAGTTGAAGAATGCATGCCCTATATATACAAAAGAAAAGACACTCAATATCAAGAACCCTAATTATTGTTCTTACCTTTTAGCATACAAAATTTTCATTTTTTTGCAATTATTTTTCCCAAGATTTGATTTTGTGTTAAAATTCAATATGGGTTTCGTTCAAAATTCTCTTTCAATTCAAAAAATGGTTCGTTTCTTCAAATTCTTTGAACAAGTATTCAACTTTTTAAAAACACTTCTGAATTTTGAGCTCTAATATTTTAAACGTCACGTAAAAACGAGCCAACTAAAAGTAAAATTGTTATCGAACTGTCCCTCGAGATTGATATTAGGGTTTCAAGATGGCATAAACTACTCGATTTACGCAAGAAAAATTAGGGTTTTTTTCCCTTAGCAAAAGGTGTGGTGAGTAAGGCATTAGAAGATAGAAAGCTATAGAAACTCTCAAAACTTAGTAGATGAGGGACCAATGTAGGTTCTTTTAATTTAAAGGCATCCAACTCAATGCCAAAAAGGACCACAGGCATGCAATAGAGATATGGTGGCAGTAAGATTTAGCAGCACAACTTGAATTTTGTATTTATTATCAATCTTTCAATTTTCAATCGCGTCTTATTCCAACCATGCATCTTAATGTTAACGTCACGAATACGACATGTGAATCCAAACCATACCATATATGGCTCGTTTAGAGATATAGAGATGCCTTTAACCACTCATTCAACTAATGAACACAATCCCGAGTACATCTAGAAGTCACTCTTAGTTGAGAGCATATACCTTCAAACATTTGATCTTTTAGACGACTACGTAGATCAAACTAGATTTTGTCAGTTAAGTCACGACTCGAGTTCTCGAAGCCTAACGAACCCTAAAAGTACAGCAACCAAAAGCTTAGCCCACCATGAATATGCAGCTGAAGAGTATACCACAAAGTTGACACGACCAAAATGGGGAGCCATGAAGGAAAAAGAAAAAACCTTAAACCCTTCAAAAGATGACATTCCTATGGCTTTTTAGAGAGAGAAAGAGAAGAGATGTTGTTTTGAGTAGCTGTATGATGGACTGGACAAAATGGGGAATTTGAAAGCAAAATAATTGAAGAGATTAATGGAGATGCAACAATTGGGAGAGACAGTCAAAAAGCTGAGCCCTTTGTTTATATCTCCATCTCCATTGGACTTTAAAAATAAAAAATGAATAAAATAATGAATACCCTTTTGAATTTATTTCATATTTATGAATAAAAATGAAAAGTTGATGAAATTTAATTAGAACATTAAGATGAATGGTCCCTTTTACCAGCTGACAGAGGCTCTTAATTGATAGGGTTTCAGTGTGAGTATCAACAATGGTTCCTTTCAACAAAAAGTTGAAAACTTTGAATCATATTCTAAATAATTATGCAGTGGAAGACTCCCAGTTTGATGCAATAAACTAATAAATAAATGTGGACTGAATCATAATAATGCTTACCCCTATCATTCTTCTTTCTCTCTCTCTCTCTCTATATATATATTATCAGTAGCACACAAACTTCTGCTGGAAGCACTTTTGGAGGGTTTTCCTGCATTCTATTGCCCAAAAATATTAGATTTTGTTTCAAAGAAGAAGAAAAAATAAAATAAAAAACTAATTATTAATGTGGATTTATTAGATGTAAATTTGATTTTTTTTTTTTTTTTTTTTTTTTTGAATAAAATTTTGGGCTNTTTTTTTTTTTTTTTTTTTTTTTTGTCGAATAAAATTTTGGGCTTTAAATTCCGTGCTTAATAAATTTGTGAATTAGAAAAACACGATAAGTAGCTTCAAAATTAGTTAAGCCATATAATTCTCGAGGCTTCAAATTTCCTGTTCCACACATTATTGAACTCCCAACAAAATTGCAGTTTAGAACAAAGAGAATGAAGTGTCTACTAAGTCTTTTAAGTTTTGGATTGAGTTAGCTTTGACTTGTTCCTGAATTTTTCAGAATGTTACACTTTTATAACCAAATTTAAATATTTAAGTTCCTTCCATCGTAGTCACTGTCTCGTCACTGTCTCGTCACTGTACGTCACCACCATATCGATGCTAAATTGAAACGTTTATAAAGAAGTAAATGAGAAGCCAATAACATTAGTATTTTTTTAAAAATGGGTTATCTTTATATATATACACTAAAAATGATATATTTTGTAAATTTGGGTTTTCTTTTTGGAATATAATTTAATTGTAGAAGAGTAAGGTCCTTGGTTGAGTAAACCATTCCTTCATGATTGGCAACAGGGAAAAGGTAAATGTCAGAATTTTCTGCAATCACATTTAATGTGGATCATCAATTATTAATACTCCAAAACTCCAAATAAAGATCAAAGAAGAGTGTTATTTGAGCCATTTGGTTAAGTTTCTTCTAGGCTGAGCAGAAACCTATGCTAAACTCAGACAATGAAACAAGTTGAGACCGAAAATAAATGAGTTTCAAAGGGATACCAGAACTGATCTCCAATATATATTATACTTGACTAATCTCAAAGGGCAACTGTTTGATCTTTTACATTTTGTTGCCAAGGAAACAGAGACCGTTCTAACTTTGAATTCATTCATGAGGCAGTGTGTCAGCCATGGGCCTTGAAGGGGGTGGATTGGGGAGTCCCATATCAATTGGAGAAGATAACGAGTGCCAGCCAGGATGCTGGACCTCGAAGGGGGTGAATTGTGAGATCTCACATCAGTTGGAGAGGAGAACGAAACATTTTTTTATAGGGGTGTGGAAACCTCTCCCAACCTACGCATTTTAAAAACCTTGAGGGGAAATCCGAAAAGAAAAGCTCAAAGAGGACAACATCTACTAGCGGTGGGGTGAGCTTAAACTGTTACAGATAAATCATTTTTTCTTCCACAGGTGGGGAAAAGAGAGACAGAGAGAACAAGAAAGAAGAAGGTAAAGAATGAACTGTCAAAGGAGATGATCTATAGACTAAATACCAAGAATCATAACAAGTACAAAGAAGGTGGAAACTGAAGCCCAGGATGAACAAAGCATTATCTTCCACACATATAAAGCTTCTGATGATAACAATGAAAAGGGATTCTTACATCAATGGAGTTGGAACCGTACCGTCAAGCTCTTAAATGACCCCAGAGTTGGTTGGACGTCAACTTTCTAGGAGTGTAATATTTGGCATCAACCCACTTCTTTGGAATCCTCATAACCAAGCAAACTTCTTTCATTCTCTCAAATGATTAAACTGAAGATGAACCATCAAAACAAATCATGTCAAGTTCAGACGTAAAGTTTGCATCAAAGTCAATCATAGAGTTCACACTTATCATTTGTACGATTGAAGGTAATGGCCATCAATGTCGGTAAACAGAAACTTTCCTCCATTCTCATTAGTTCTGTAGCCTTTTACCTTTCTCTTCTTTTCTTTTCAGAAAACTAACAAATGCGTCAGTTAAGATACAGCAATTATGACTCTTTTAGCACAGATTTAGAGCTGGAAAATAACAAAAGTGAGAGACCACAATATCCCATATTGGTTAGAGAGAGGAACGAAACATTTCTTATAAGAGTGTGGAAACCTTTCCCTAGTAAAAACGTTTTAAAATCGTGAGGCTGTCGGCGATATGTAACAGACCAAAATAGACAATATATATTAGTATATTAGTAGTGGGCTTGGTCCATTTTAGAGACTAACAAATGCAAAATAGACCAGCATAAACCAACATAGGTTGGGGAATAACAGTCAGAAGGACCAGTGGAAAACTAAGGAAGTTTGTAAGTTATGAATTCAAATCATTTATCCTCACCTAATATGGAAAATTTTATGAGGTTTCCAATATACAAATAAGCAGCTGCCTTGAGATTGGTCGAAATGTACATAAACTAACTCGGACAAGATTATCATAATATATAGACAAGTAGATAAGCCACGCAGGTTTCCTTGCTGTTATATTAGGAATTCAAGTAAAAACAGTCATTAACAAATGGAATCTGTAACAGCCCAAGTCCACCGCTAATAGATATTGTCTGCTTTGACCTGTTACGTATCGCCGTTAGCCTCACGGTTTTAAAACGTGTCTACTAGGGAGAAGTTTCCACACCCTTATAAGGAATGCTTCGTTCTCCTCTCCAACCGATTTGGGATCTCACAATCCACTCCTCTTGGGGGCCAAGCGTCCTCGCTGGCACACCGCCCCAGTGTCTGGCTTCGATACCATTTGTAACAGCTCAAGCCCACCGCTAGCAGATATTGTCCCATTTGGCCCGTTACTTATCGCCGTCAGCCTCACAGTTTTAAAACGTGTCTACTAGGGAGAAATTTCCACACCTTGATAAGAAATGCTACCTTGAGATGTGGGATCTCACAAAATCAAATCAGCCTCTAATGAAGTTGAGAACCATAACCCAACACTTGAACGCCTCTCAACTACAATAACAATTCTATCTCAAGTGCGACCAAACAAAAGGCAGAGCAACAGAACGATAAGTGAAGAGGGGTTACTTTTCCACTACTGTATGTACCTAATAACAAATAAAATGGTACATAATTGAGAAAAGAAACTCCAACGAGAAAAACACACGTTTTCTTAAAGCAATAACAGCATACTAAGTCATTAACATTGCTAGGCTGCCTTTTGTTGGATCTAATTATGCAGGTAAAGGGAACCGACCTTGATAGTATAGATATCTGTTGTTAGCAGAAAGCCATATTACAACTTTTGACATGACGGTGCCCTATCTAATTAAATGTTTTGGGCTGGTCTCTCATAGTTGTTTATAGTATCTTCTGCCATGTGAACTCATAAAAATCCAACTTCTGCATCAGAACCGTTAAATAAACAAGTTCATTGTCTATAAAGATACATGGTACAAACCTCCTATTTGAAAGTTAATGGAAATTTATAATTAAAATGTGTTTGGAACCACGACCTCTACGATGATATGATATTGTCCACTTTGAGCATAAGCTCTCATGACTTTGTTTTTGGTTTCACTCAAAGACTCGATACTAAGGGAGACAATGTTCCTTACTTATAAACCCATGATCTTCTTCTTATTTAGCCGATGTGGGACTGCTCCTCTCAATAATTCTCAACAAAATGTTGGCTTAAAAGTTCCACATAGACAACACGATGATGGGTCATAGAGAATGAATGTTCTAAAATATTTGTCTTTCCAGTACCAAAATGACCAACCCTATTGTCTTGCACATTTTTTGTTTGAACTCTCAGGTTTAATCCTTGCCCACACAGCATATTGAAGGCGGAGAGCTTCATGGTCAAGGAACATAATAACCATGGCTCTAAAGCAAGGTGCTAATCAATGAAACAAAATCTCAAACAAGATTACCTGTGAAGCATAGAGAATGAATATTGATAATCTAATTTGTTGAAGCAAAAGTGGAACTCACAAGTAAATGATAAAAAAGAAAAAAACGGCTAAATCAATCACCCACGAGCCCCAGCTCCAGAGCTAGAAATATAAGAGCTCAAGAATAAGACAATGAATCACATGTTCTTCAAAAACCATGAAAAATGCAAGCATGATCCAAATTACACTGGTATGAAATCAAATTGAGGCTTAAGATTAAGTTCCCTCAAAAAAAGCTAGGATTGACAACTGATAAGCAATAACTGTGGGCACGAATTGGCAAAACACCAAGGCACCAACCAAAGAGCCATAGTTGGCTCTTGACTCTGTTAGGAATCACGAACCTCCATAATGGTATGATCTTGTCCACTTTGAGCAATAGCTCTCTTAGCTTTACTTTTGGTTTCTCCAAAAGGCTTCGTACCAATAGAGATGTATTCCTTTACTTATAAACCCATGATCAACCCCTTAATTAACCGACATGGGACTCCTCTCCCAACAATCATCACCAGACTCAACTTGCAGTTCACATCACAAAGTATTCATTCCAAGAACCACTAAGTATTCATTCCCGTGTCCAATCGAGCAAACATTCTGTATGTATAATGGTCATTATCAAAACAGCTTAGTAACCCAAGTCTTCAGCAGTGGCTAAATCTCCATTACATTTTGAAGAAGTATACGGAATAATAACTCCCACCCACCTACACCTACCCGACAAATACAAACTCCAGAAACAAACATACAGAGCACCTAAACAATCCAAATCCGCATAAAAGAAAGCTGTGGCTATTAGATAACTGCTTTAAATTCCGATTGGCTATGAGATTTTATCTGTACACCCTACAACATAATTCAAAGACGTACAAACAAACCTAAAAAGATGTGGACTACAAATACAAAACACACACCTAGAAACTCTGTTTATTGCAACAAAAGTTCACCTTCCGATACCGTCGGCACAATGCGAAGATCTCTAATTTCCCGCCAGATCCAGTTATCTTCTTCGGGCGAGAGGCAGAGGAGACGAATGAATTGAATTCTGATAAATCAATCCATTATCTAAACAATAATAGATAAATAAATAAATCCTTAAATTAATGAAACATAAAATTAGTAAATTCAATATTCTTCAATCTTATGAATTTTTTAAATTTAAAAAATAATAAAATTTTAACTTTAAATATATCCTACTAGCTTTCAAAACTTTTATTAACTTAATATCCTTCCACTTAAAAAATAAAAATAAAAATAAAAATATTAACAAAATTGTTTAAAAATAAATTAAATTTTATAAATTCTTTTATTGGCCAAAATAACTTATTTTCTTTGATAATACATTACTTATATTAATATATAAAAAAATTACCGTGTATAAAATTTTATTAAATTAAATAGGTATCGGTTATATTTTTTTTACAATAAAAATTTATTTACATTGGATAAAAATGAATATTGGTTGTCTAAAGTCAACATTTTTTATATTAAGTTATATTTAAATGATAATGAAATAAGATTAGTATATTAAAATTCACCTAAAACTAATTTATATAAAATTAATTTAGTTTACTTATTTTTTAAAATGGATGTGATTGTTATCTTAAAAACAAAATCTTATTTTTGAAAAAGAGATTATATTTTCTATTACCTGTTTATTTCCTTCAAAAACCCTAAGGATATAAAGCTGCTCAGAATCTTCTCTCTCTGTTTCATTTTCTCTACTCGTTTTCTAAGCACTCAGATCTCTCTCTGAAGTTCGATTCTCTGCCTTCAAGCAGGTGCTTGGTTTTTTCTCCTTCTACTTACTTCAATGTCGTGGTTTCTATTCTGTTTACTTGATCTGTAATATTGTGTCAAATATTTGTTGAATGATCCATTGATAATTACCTATTTCGGTCAATCACGTTCTTCTTATATATATATATATATATACATATATATATATGATCTGTCTGTTTTAGGGTTTTGTGGGGCTTTATTTTTTTTTTATTTATTTATTTTTTCGTTTAGGGCTTAGCGCTTTCGTAAACCATCGGCTATCCATTACTGTACTTTGGACGATTCGCCGACGATTTGCCTCTATCCTCTTCGCTCGTCGGCTTTCTGGTCGTGCACAGATTCCTTTCAACTCTCACCGTATCGTCGTACTAGTATACTGCGTGGTCATCTATAGCAAGTATTGTGTAGAATCTAACTGTTTTTGCATGTTTTCTCAAGCCATCTCTGATGTTTAGGTGCATGTTTGAGGGATTGAAGTAGAGGAAGTCGGTTGTCGGAAGAGCGCATTACTGATTTTTTATTTATCAACTTTTTGAGGTTTTACTTGATTTTTCAGTTTCATTTGATATATAAAACCTTAAAGAAATGTTGCTTAAGCGATCCCTAAATTTCTTGTAGGTTTTTTTTAAACAAAGTAAAATATAGATTTATTGTTTCTGTTATATTTCAGTCACATGTCTATTCGGCCTACAAAGGTTGTTGGTGATCTTTCTGGTACTGGTTATGTCTCACTGCATTGAGCTATGCTCATAGTATGCTCTAAATTATCTTGTAGATGGCGGCAACACAGGAAGCCAGTTCTTCCCCTGCTCCCAGTGCCCAAGTGGTTGGGAATGCGTTTGTTGGGCAGTACTATCACATCCTTCATCATTCTCCACAATTGGTGCACCGGTTCTATCAGGATTCGAGTTTGCTAAGCCGTCCAGATGTCAATGGAGTGATGACAACAGTGACAAGCATGCAGGTAAACTTTTTTTATTTCGCCATATCCACGATATTGCTACACATTCCATGGGTTATCCTACCTTTATTTATTTTGTGTTTTTTGGAGCCAGGGATATGTATGAAGTTGTACCAAACTTGTGGTCATGCATTTTAGTTTTTATCCGAAACATTGCTTTAGTGTGCATTTGGGATATTGGTACATTAGTAACACTTGTTGAAACATTCGGTTGCAAAATTGTTTATGGATGAAATATTGGATTGTGTAAGTGCATAAAAATGATCACAAGAGGTGTAAGCGCAGGCCATCACTGTAATGAGGAATAATGTACTGTCGTTGTGGGGACTGGGGATCCTCTTGAAAATTAAATTATATTCAACATCATCTCCACAAATTTTTATTCCCAGCTTTGAAGAGAAGCATGCATTTATGTGTAAGATAAAAATTATATTAATACTACAACAAACATGATCTATCTATAGTAATCAGGTACTGTTTGTGACATAATTCCAGAATGGCTATGATACCATTAGTCCGCTAACAATGCCTGTTAATTTGAAGATTTAGACATTGGCAAAATAGTAATCATGGTTGTGATTTTTGGTTTCCATACAATGTTCGTTCATGGTTAATTGAAGTTGTATGTATCTTCACTATCTTTTTTCAGAATTTTTCTTATTGGTCTGAATTGAAGGAACTTGAAGGATGTAACTAATGAACATTTCTTATTTTTATGGTCTGGAGATTCCTGGTTTCAATTTCATGTTTGGCAATTAAAGTTCAAATTGTGATTTGACAGGCAATAAATGACAAGATCATATCCATGAATTATGGAGACTATACAGCAGAAATAATTACTGCTGATGCTCAGGAGTCTCATGAGAAAGGAGTGATTGTTTTGGTTACAGGATGCCTAACTGGCAAGGACAATTTGAGGAGAAAATTTTCCCAAACATTTTTTCTTGCTCCTCAGGACAAAGGCTACTATGTCTTAAATGATGTGTTGAGATATGTTGAAGAAACTGAACCGACCCGAAGCAGCTCTTCATCGGGTGATGCCATCAAAGAGAATATCACAACGGTTACTTCAACACCAGAACCAGGTGTATATTTTTGTCCTGTTACTATTCTATATGCATTATTGCAGAATTGTGAGATAGATCTCTGCTCCATTTACAGAACAATCTCATGCTCCTAATCATCTCACTGTGGAGCCTCCAGTGTCACTGGAAGAGGAAGATATGAACAATGATCCTGAAGTTTGTGATCCTTCCAGTAATGATGAAGGATCTGTGATTGAAGAGGAAGAGGTTGTTGAAGCCCCACGTCCAAGTGAGCATGAAGTAGTTGCGACTGCTGATGCAGCCCCTGTTGCCCAAGAAGATGCTCCAAAGAAGTCGTATGCATCCATTGTGAGTTATTACTTTCTTCTCTCTGCATTTTTTTATGCCAATCTTGTCTTAGACATTTACTCAGGTGACTTAATCATACTCAGGTTAAGGTGCCAAAGACAGTATCTGGTCCTGTTTATGTTCCAACTTCAGCTGTAAGAGCAGCACCCCCAGCAAATCCTGATCATCAGTCGATTGGCCTTGTTAAACCTGCTCCAGTTCCTGATGTTTCTGCAGAAAATGGTGACAGTCTTCCTGAAAGTAGTAACCTTCATGAGGAAGGTGTGTGCGTGCTCATGTTGATATGTACCTTTCTTTAGCACTCCATTCTAGTTATAGACATTTATATATGCACTGCAAAACAGCCATAGATTATTAAATCAACTTAAAAGTGCTTAGGTTGTTATTTGCTCTGGGTGTGTCATGATGGTCACGTTTTCTTTAAAATGTAATATTTTGCTAATACTGATTACAGCTGAAGGTCACTCCATATATGTACGAAACTTGCCATTTGATGCTACAGTTGAACAACTCGAGGAAGAGTTTAAGAAATTTGGGCCAATTAAGCGTGATGGTATCCAAGTTAGGAGTAATAAGGTCCTATACTAATAAAATTTCTTTTATTTTGTTCCAACCCAATTTTTGTTTTTATTATTTTAACGTTTTCTTTTTCATGCAGCAAGGTTTTTGTTTTGGATTTGTTGAGTTTGAGCAATTGAGCTCTGTGCATGGTGCACTCGAGGTAACAAAGATTACAGTGCACCTTTACCTTCTTAATGCAATCAGTTTAATGTGTAGCTCTTCTATCATATCCTTCTCTTTGGTTGTTGATGGAGTATACTCTCTTCTGGATCTTGTAACTCATGTTTTCTATTTAGATTATATTATTGATCATTTTATGATTGTAGTTTTATTTGATTTTGAATGTTGAATGGAACTTCTTAGGTCGGACTTTGGAGTTTATGGTTTGTTTTCCCTGGTAAATTACTAAATTAGGATGCACTGAATCAGGAGTATTGTATCTTTGGTCTTTAGGATGTTTGTGCTGTATCATTTGGATTCTTTGAGGGTTCTTTTTTCTATACATATTTGTTTCTATCAATATGTTAGGCTTATACCTTGATGCATGACTCCAATTTTTAGTCTTGAGACTCGTGCCTTCTTTGGACCATAGGAAGCTTACGCCCCTATGAAAACACATTAAGGCTTAAAGTATCTTTGCCTCATGCAATGAATAGAAGAATAATATTAACTTGCCCCATTCTTAAATAATATAATCGTCTGAGTTGTGACAATTTGAACAATTACTACTTTTACTCGTTGGACTTTAAAAACATTGAATCCAAAAATTTGTAAAATAAGGCAATCCTTTTAATGATATTAGTATTGATATTCTTTTAGAGCTCTTGTTTAAAGTGGCAGCTGACATACCTTTGTATGACTATTTTGTTTAGTAATACTGGATAGTGCATTTAATTAAAATTGAGGTTTGCACTTCACTTTCAAGAGTAAAAGTGAAAGCCTCGAGGTTGCCTTTAGCTTTTTAAGACATTGGTTTCTGTCAATTATAACTGGTAAGAATTGAAGATTTGTATACTGTACTTATATGGTTATATTTGTTCTCTTGCTTGTATCTTTGTTATCCTCCTTGCCACCAGTATGTCTTACCAGAGTATTGGATGATCTTGTGTGTTCATATTCCCGCGTCTGTCTGATTTCTTTGATTTTTTCTTTTTATCATTTTATGTGTCTGGTGCCTCATTGACTACAAACATTAATTCCTTCCCTACCTTTTTGTTCTTTCATCAGCTAGTGATGTGATCTATACATGTTATTGATCCCAAAATTTGTTTAAATTGAATGTTCAGCCTGATGAAATTAGGATGTTATTTTGAGCATTAAAAAAATCAGTATCCTTAACATGACTCTTTAAACTATAGGTGCTGTTTTTATGTTTCACCATAGAATTCAAATTGATTCATATAGTTTCCACCCCTCTTTCCTTTTATAGGATAACAATTGATGGTGAATTTGAGATATTTGTAACTATAATATCTTGCATTTTTGGTATATTATGTGTGTCATAAGAGTTGCACCTTCATCATCAGGGGTGGTGAAAGACTTTCGATTCAACCTGGAGATCATAGATTCCGAGCTACTTGAAGTTGCTTGTCTATGATAAAAAATAAAATAAAAAATCTCAAGTTTTTTCTTGCCTAAATGTTGTACGGCTAAACAATAATTTTCAAGTTGAAGTTGGAGTCATTATATGCATGTAAAATACCTCATGATTTCTGAATTTAAATGTTGTAAGATGAAACAAGAGTTGACACTTTCTAGCTTGGTTGTTCATCTACTTTATGTTTTTGTTTTTCTCCTTCCGTTTGATAATATTGTTTGTTAAATCCTCCCTTTGGGTTTGATATTGTTGCGCTGACTTTTCTTAATTCAATAACACTAGGCTTCGCCAGTAACAATTGGTGATCGTCAAGCTGTTGTAGAGGAGAAGAGGACCACCACTCGAGGTGAGCTGCCATTTGAAGTTTACTTTTACCTTCCTTTCTTTCTTTTCATTGATAGGTTAAGTGTGTCGTGGTTAGCGTTACATTTAATCTATATGAACTTTCGAAGTGGAGGAACTCTTGATAATCTCCTGATTGTGTTAATCAATTGATCTGTACAGTTAGCGGAGGTGGCAGAGGGAGATTCTCTACAGGAAGAGGTGGTTTCCGCAATGATAGTTTCAGGGCAAGAGGGAACTATGGTGGTGGCAGAGGCTACGGGAGAAACGAATTCAGAAACCAGGGTGAGTTCTCAGGACGACCCCGAGGTTCAACTGGACGCAACGGGGAAGGTTATCAACGGGCTAACCAAAATGGAGGTGGAAGGGGAGGAGGTCGTCAGGGTGGGGCAATCCGCACACCCATTACCGGTTGAAGGTTGAACAGTAAAGGAAGAATACGTTGACAATTTTTTGACAGTAAAATTGAGGATGAGCTCTACCACCTTTTTCTTCTTTTTGGAATTTTTCCCTCTTTGAATGTGGGCGGTTTGGGGGTTTGGGAAATGGTAGGATATTAATGCGGTAGAAGAAACTGAAGGTACTCCTTCAATTAATTAGTCATTTACATTTATGTGATAAGATAGTTTTGATTTATTTTTTTTACCCCTTAATGCTTCATAAAGCTGTACGACGACGACGTTGAAGCTGTTTCGACGACGCAAGATCTTTTTTCTATTATTATTACTCTATTATTTTGGGGGTAATCTCTATCTCTCTTTGCCCTCCCCATCTCCTTCCACCTTGATTTTTCTAGGACTGTTTTAGTTTTAATCAGGGTGGAGAGACGAAGGAGGGGGGCAATTATATCTGTTTTAGGCTTAAACTTTGTATTTAAAGGTTGAAATTTCATAACTTCTTTTTCCTCTTATTTTGCTTATTTCTTGGTTTTCAAAATTTTTGTCAATATCATACAGGCTCCTGAATGGGTTTTTGTGGCGAAACAATTTGAAAATAGTGTCTAAAATTGATAGTATTGACAGGATTAGTGTTGTAAAATTGATGATTGTTTGGAATGTACTATGATGTTGCTATTTTGATGATGTTAATGCTGAACTGATTAGTGCCACTGTTTAATTTAGAACACAATCAAACCATTATTCGTGTTCTATACGAAGGGAGAGAGATTTCATTCCCTATCAAATGACTTGATCAATATCAGAATGGTAGAACCAATGTTATTATTACAAGGCATGCTAACGCTGAACCAATGTATTGTCTTTCCCGTGGAAGGAGATCGATAATCTGAACCACGATGTCCGGGACATCGGACTCCTCACGACGTCCGGGACATCGGAGGAGGAGTCCGGTGATGGATTAGCCTGATCACCATTGCTCCTCGCGTCAGTACAGAGGATGCAAAAACCAAGCTCCCTTTATAAACTTTCCCAATCCCTGTTTATCTATACTTCCAAAATTTTGGACGGTAACCATCCTAAATTACGATTTTGCCCTTCTTGTTTTCTGAAACTGCCCCTGGCTGACTCCCAACCCCTTTTGGGCTTCCGATGCCCTATCAAGGTTTTTATTTTTTAATTGGTTTATGTCAAATATAAACTCGTTTAATAAATTTCTAACTTTTAATCTTATTTCTAATAGGTCATTGTAGTGTTCTATACGAGACAGTATAAATTAAATTTCAAACTATAAAGTGAAAATATGGGTGGGTGGCTTCAAATGTGATGTTATTGAGCGAATCATTAATTGTAATTCAAACATTCAGTTTCTAGATTTTTGGTATAAGATTGGGTTGGGGTCACTCCTATGTGTATGTTCTTGTTGTTCTTGTTGTCCTTGCTCCTGCTCCATGGCTGCACCAAGAACATTGGCACGTACAATCAATCAATCTAAAACAACAAGAACATTTGCTTACTTCGTTTCACACTCAGCCCTAATTGGCTCAACAGGTACACAGACGCTGAAGCAGCCAACTAAACCACAATGAACTCAACTGAGCATCGATTCATTTCAATCAAACACTACAATGAGGCACGATTATCTTGTAGGAGGCCGCTCAAGACGAAACAGATATTCGTCTATGGAGTCCCTAGTATCCAGAAAACCATCCTTTTTCAAATGTTACAAATGTGTTAAAAGACAAGCCAGAAAGTATACATGATTGAAGACAGAATGACACAGTGTAAGATTAGAGTCCCGAAAACCATTTTTTTTTTCTTTTAATCTCATCAGTTTCTGCACTAAAATTGTCAATATCGCACAAAATGATACAGTGTAAGATTAGAGTCCAAAGATCGTTCAGCCAGTTACCAAGAACCCAGAAAAAATGTGTCTACCAAAACAAAATTCGTGTTGTTAACAGAACTAAACTGTGCAAACTATCCTGTTGGCATTGTCCTAGTTACATAAGAAGAGGGGGGCAGTGTCATATTTGATGAACCTGTACACTTCTCAACTACAGAACGGGCAGCAAGAAAAGCAAGGCCATCTCTTTGAACCAACATTTGCAGCCGCTTTTGGAGATTCCTCTGAGCTCGATTCTTTTGGGGTCTGTGAGCTTGAAGATGGCCGTGGTGATTCTGGCGTCCCCTCTTGCTTTGCATTCTCGAGATTTCCTCCCTTGAATGACATGCTTTTTCCTCCATCTCCTGTCAATCTTAAAATTTCGACATAAAAAACATTCAAATGTTTATTGAACTGCAGCTGCTATCAAGTGTTTTAATACTGTAGCTTCTCTCATTCATTTACAGCCTCAACTCAACCAATTAGTTTTGAAGAAAAATATCAATGTTTAGAAGAACATAGAACACCAAAACCATTTTAGTTGATAAAGATTTGAGAATGCAGTGGCTTACATTGGAAACTGGAAAGATTTTGTGCTGCTTTCTGACTGAGGAGAAATGCTGGCTGACTGAGAAGACGACTCTGTTAGAGTGGAACCCGTCTTGCGTTGGTTTTCTGAGCTTTCTCTTATAACCTCCCTCATTGTTTCTGCAGCTCGTGCTTCAGTTGCTGCCATATCACCGTCGGGATGGGTGCCTATCAATCCATAGTCTGAAGGTCTCATAGCCAAATGCTGGGATACGTCAAGGGCTGATTCACCAGGCCTATATAGCTCACCTGATTTTCCCAGCCAACCCAATTGTTCTCTGGTAAAACTCATGTTTCCCATCTGAATGCTGAACAATGATTCATTTGAAGCCCCACTCCATTCCATAGGCGCTGTGGATTTAGTTCTAGAAAAGACCCGAGATGGAATTCTATATGAAATGGAAGTAGGATCATCAGTTCTATCCATGACTTGAATTGGAGGATATTTAATAGCTGCCTCGCTGCCTGAGCCCAAGTCTATCCTATGCTTTGGAGTTACTGGTGTTCGTCGGTTGCTATGCATAGAGCTGATGGGAACATCTTCATCACTGAAATCTACAACAAATCTGTTGAACTTCTCCATGCTTGGGGAGCTGGGATTGTTTGACAATAAGTTATCTGTAGCATCTCTTCCCTGTTTAAGCTTAATTTTATGTTTAGATTCAGATTCGAAGGACGAGGAAGTGGAAGAATAAGTTTGCAGATTTTTTCTACTTCCAAGATCGCCGGCTTCACCAGGTTTATTCAAATCTGGCTCCATAGCATTGGCATCTTTGTACTTTCCAGGCCTTGGGTGTTCGATCAAATGATTACGCAGTGAAGATTCATCACCACTAATAAACTGAAACTCATTGTTATCCAAAGAATCACTTGTACGACAAATGAAATCGCCGTTCCCAGTTACAATCAATTCAAAGGAGCTGTCAGTGGAGGAATAAGATGTCGAGGATAAGGAAGTGAGTAATTGACTTCTTGGAATAGACAGACCAACTTCGCCCGTATTGCTGATAGACTGTGTTTTATATTCATCGGCCTCGATCCTTCGCCCAGATTCCATGGATAAAGATATCTGAATTATGTCCTCAGACACCACTTTTCAGTTTTCTTATGTAGCCTGAAGATTACCGCCTGTAAAATACAAGAAAATGACCCTTTACGCGACTCGATTATAACTGGTTCTATGATCTATCACGCCCTAATAGCATATTTAACAGAAACAAGAAATGGATAGCTTTCACTGGCTCCATTTTATCGATGAACGATGGATCACATTGTGTTTAACAAAAAGAAAAATGGAAGATGAGGCGGTTAGAAACTACGACTCTTCACAATAGTATGATATTTGTCCACTTTGAGCATAAACTCTCATGACTTTACTTTGGGCTTCTCCAAAAAGTCAAATGACCAATGAAAATTATTTCTTACTTATAATCTCATGATTATTCCTCTCAACAATCTTTCCCTCGAACAAAGTACACAATAGAGCCTTTCCTGAGGCCTATGTAACCCTCGAACAGTCTCCCTTTAATCATGGCTTGATTCCTTTCTTTGGGGCCCTCGAACAAAATACTCCTTTTGCACGATACTTGAGTCACTTTTTGACTACACCTTCGAGACTAGCAACTTATTTGTTCGACACTTGAAGATTCTTTTGATATGACTAAGTTAAGAGCATGAATCTGATACCATGTTAGAAATCACAACTTTCCACAATAGTATGATATTATCCCTTTTGAGCTTAAGCTCTCAGCTTTACTTTAAGCTTCCCCAAAAAGCCTCGTACTAATGGAGATGCATTCCTTATTTATAATCTCATGATCTGGCTATTCCCTCCCAACAATCCTCCCGCAATTCATCTACCATCCGAATTTAATCCCCAGCTGCGGAGATATTATTCAACGAATCTAGTACATGGAGATCTTTTGATGTAAGAGATTAGCTAAATAGTAAACAGTAAAGTTTCAGCACGCATCATTCAACAGTTTAATGGATGGCAGCCACAATTGAAGAATTTCCCCAACCAGTAGCTACCCTAGCCCTAAATCGAGAGATCTCAATTTCTTAAACACTCTTCTAAATCGCGCAATAAAACTGAAAACCTAAACAGGAGAAAACAATATAAAAGCAAGAATCAAAGGATAAACAATACGTACGTCAAAGATATCCCAATCCCAAGTAGTGGAAAATGTAAAGTTCATAGAGACTGCCAGCCGGAGAGGTGGGAGAGAAGAGGCCTCCGACTACCAGAAACAGCCGTCCCCGATCGGCAACGACGCAGAGGGAGATTAATGATCGGGGAAAAGAAAAGAAAAGAAAAGAAAAGAAAAGAAAAGAAAAGAGAACCAAATTCTGAAAATAATCCAATGGAATCGATCGAGGGTAGAGACAGAGAGAGAACGATGAAACAGAGAAGGGATGGAGGAAGAGAGAGAAAGAGAGTGAAGCTGGAAAATGGAAAGCGGGAAGGAAGTCATGAGGCGTCGCATTGTTTCAGCCGTTTCTTTCTCTTTGTTTCTCTCCCAAATAACCAACTTTTCCTCCCTTTCGCGCCCATTTCCCAACTGTTTTTCCCCCCTTTCTCCACTCAAAAAATTCAAGATATAAGGGAATAAATTGAAATTTTATACCGTATAATAAAAATAACATAACCCTCCACTTTAGGTTAAATTTTGAGTTAGACCCGAGCTTAGGTCAACTCTACGTGGTTGATTTATTTAACTTGTTCCAAATAACTATAATTAAATGGATCGAGATCTGGGGCCTTTTAATTTCCTAACACCTCCCGTTGCTCGAAGGAAAAAAAGTTTGTTGCACCTGTTTATTTACTTTCATATAGGTAATTATGTTTCTTTTATCGTATATATTTGCGTATGATATGACGAGATTAGCTACTATTAATTTAATATGAATACTATCGAGTGACTAACAGTTAACATACGCAAATATATAACTTAATAGTTAAAATATTTTGTTGTTTATTGTGGTGACTGGTCTTTTGAACTTGAGTTAAAAGCTATGCTTATGAACGTGTTAATTTTACGATATTATTTCAATATAGTATATTTTATTAAGCATAATTCCATTTTTTATCTACATTTCCATTAGGGTAAATTTCACGGTAAAATTACAAATTTAGGGTAAAAAGAAAAAGGGTACAAATTAGTAATGTAAGAAAATTAGGGTGAAATTCGCCTCCAAAGATATTTTTTCGTGTCGTTTTGTGCACCGTCATCAATCCATCTGACGGTCCGGATTTCTCCTGCTTCGCTCCATAAATTCTTTTTTTCACTTCTCATATTCGTTAAAAAACCCCAGCTGTTCGTAAGTCATCCTAGGGTTTTAGCATCGCAACGAGAGAGAAGAAGAACAAGGTTCGTTCTCTAATTACCCTATCTTCTCTGTCTGTGATTTTCCATTACATGTTCTTTTTCCTTCTGTATATGGTTTTCCATTACATGTTCTGAAGAAGAACAAGGTTTGATGTTTGAATTACTTCCGAAATCGTTGAAAATGTTCGTATCAAGTGTGTTGGACTTTTGATTGATGGTCTCTGGAAGAAATGATAGCCGCGAATAGGCGATGAGTCTTGTCTCTTTCTCGTGTTGCGTATTCGAGCTTTTCATCACGGCCTCTTTTTCGTTCGCGTCTTGTTTTGGTTACTGGCTTTTATTTTATATCTCAACATGTTATGGTATACGAACGAGTCTTGGTGGTAAGGATCATATTGTTGAGTTTGAAATGTTCTTATCAACCACCAAAATCGAGCTTATGCTTGTTGGCGCTTAAAGGGATACTTATGAACGTTATTACGTACACAAGTGCCGCATTTCACTCCTTGCCAGTGTTCTATTTTTTACCCTCTCCTGTTCAGTTGTTTTGTAGTATGTTCTGGTGATGAGTTTGTGAAGTGTGTTGCGACAGTGCTCTGTGTACTCTAATTTGTCGAAAATCAAAGTGGAACATAATTTTAGGCTAACGGAAAAGCTTTCCTTGCTGCCTCTGATGTTAAATCTTCGCCACTAATCTCTTTCAGAGTGCTTCAAAATGGCTTTCCTAAGTAAGGTTGGAAATATACTGAGGCAGAGTGCAAATAAGAGGACTGGATTAAATTTGCAGGCGCCCAGTTTGTCTATCTGTCAAGCTGTACGATGGATGTCTTCAATGCAGAGTTCAAAAGTTTTTGTCGGAGGTTCTATGTGATTTTCTTTTTCTTTTAAGAACATGTAGTCGCCAATTTCTTCTTCTTTATCTCTTATCATATGCATGTTTATGATGACAGGTATTTCATACAGCACTGATGATCAAAGTCTGAGGGAAGCCTTTACTAAATACGGGGAAGTTATTGAAGGTATATCGCCATTCAACTGACTCGTTTACAAGTTAAGTGTTGAAAACTATCTTAGAAGTATGTTCCCAATTACTATCATACCTTTACGCAACACAAATGATATATTCAATAAACGCACTTTTGGAACCCGTATGGTTGAATCTGCCTGAGGAATTCTGTCCCTTCAAATATTTTCTGAAATTATGGCCGAGCAGGTGGCCTTGGGGAGGGGTGGAGCTAGTGGATAGTGTCAAATCTGAAGTTTAGTAAAAATGTTGGTTTCCTTGTTTACCCTTCTTTTCTTTGCCCCCGTGATAGCTAGGGTCATTGTAGACCGCGAAACTGGAAGATCCAGAGGATTTGGATTTGTGACTTACACCTCTAGCGAGGAGGCCTCTAGTGCCATCCAGGCACTGGATGGACAGGTAATGATTCTGCTGTCAGCTTATTGTGATTAAAAAGGATAAAACATCATGTTATAATCATATGCCATAGTATACTATTGAGTTAATGCATCTCCGCTTATAAAATGCTTCATGTCATTTGTCTGCTTTATTTCCTGTTTGACGATCGTTTCACTGTGTCAGTTGCACGAAGATTGTATCTTATGAATGCATTATGAGAGTTTCAAGCCTATAGCAGTGGCCATTCTCTATAATATTCTCAACAATTAAATTGTGTACTATTGTGAAGTGTTCTAGGAGCTGTCACGTTGATTGGTTATTTATTCTCAAGTACATATATATATATATTTCTGAATGTTTTGTGATTAAGGCGAGTTGTATATTGGCGACATGTCCCAATTTCTGTTATAATGCTGGCAGTCACTCCTCGTTCATGTTTTGTCATAGCTGATCCTCTTTTATATTATCGAGGAAGCTGGTATCTTATGGTACAAAGTTAGTTAAAAAAATTTAGGCAAAAAAATAAAAAAAGAGGAAAAAATAACGTTTCAAAGAAAGATGAGTGATTATGTTGATTGTAATTTGGAGGCTTGTTCATCTCCAAATCTATGAGAATGAATCAAATTTGAAATTAACTGACTAATTAATGGAGATGCAAGTTTTTAGTTGATTTGTATTGGTACTCAGTATTTGCTTAACACAAGATGTTTAATGGCTTAGTTTATTATTGTTCACTTTTTCCCCTTTCAAACAGGACCTTCATGGTCGTCGTGTGAGAGTGAATTATGCTAATGATAGAAGTCGTGGTATGGGTGGTGGCTATGGTGGTGGCTATGGTGGCGGTGGTGGTGGCTATGGTGGCGGTGGCTACGGTGGCGGTGGCTACGGTGGTGGTGGCTATGGTGGCGGTAGTGGTGGCTATGGTGGTGGCGGCGGTAGCTATAGTGGTGGGGCTTATGGCGGTGGTGGCTCTGGTGGTGGAGGCTATGGCGGTGAGAGTGGAGGAGGTTTTGGGTCAGGATTTAGTACTGGAGATAACTATTCAAGCAGTTTTGGCGGTGGTAGCCAAGGAAGCGGAGGAAATTATGGTACAGGTGGGAATGATGCTGGCTCCAACTCTGCTAGCAATTTTGCTAGTGGAAACAGTGGAACTAGCGCTGGTTTTGATACCAATGTCAGCAACGGTGGTGGCGACTATTTTGCTAACAGTGGGTCTGATGCAAGCTCTGGGTTTGGAGGATACACTGGCGGGGATCAATTTGGCAGCAACGACGAAGCAAACACCCTGAATGCATCCGGAGATCAAGGCCTAGGGGAGCAACTGGAAGGAAATGATAGGGATGAAGATGACAACGCAGACGACTTCGCTAAAAGAGCCTAATAAATCATATGCATTATCCATAGTAGCTTCATCACATTTTTGGTTATTGCCATGTAGATTTTCGCTACATTCTCCTCTGTTGAACACAACTACTGTGTTTGTATGTTGGACTTGCCTCAGTGATCTCTGAATTTTTCTATGCACTCAATTTAGTTTCTCAATGATTGTTCTTGGGGGTACCATCTTACTCTGCACTATTATAAAGAATGTTTTATTCTACTTCCGAACTGTGTCACTATTATCGTTGGTGAAAATTCAAGTTGATTGAGTTTTTTTTTTTTTGTAGCCACAGGTTCTCCGGAGAAAATACCTCTATTTAGTCTGACTGAGCTGGCGGGTAAGCTTTCATCAGAATTGGAAATCACGTGAATGAAAACTAGGCAAAGAAAGCTCGTTGAAGAAAAGTAATAGTTGGTGGTATTATCGAGTCTTTTACACTAATGATTGATCAGTATAGGTAGGGGGGGGCGAATTCTTGTATGTGGTATTCCCTTTTTTCTATCAATGAATCCCTCGTCGTCCCTCCTCGACTTTATCCATTGAAAATAACCATCTTTGTGCATTTAGAACCACTGGAGAACCCATCCTGGTTTTCTCCACAATCTGCCTTATCAGCATCTCATCATCATAATCACTGCTTTCATCATCTACACCATTTGTCTGCTGACCCAGTGAGAAATGATCTTTCATTGTGCCAATCTTCTTATGACGATCTTTTGTTTTCTCCTTAATAAGTACCCGACCGAGACTCATCGACCCATTTGGGTATGAAAATGGACGACCATTAGTGGCGGTGTGGTTTTGTGGATGCTTGCCTTCATCAACTGCTGAAGGTGAATGCACAAGCTCTTCTTCGGAGTTGTCCATATCGATCAACTCATGATATGCCTCATTGTAGGCATCCAGAGCTTCTCCTGATAAGTTCATATCAAGAGGTTGAGAAGTTAGACTTTCTTCACTGGATGAATGCAGCATTTCACTTTGGGTGAATTCTTTCCTAGAATCGATCTGCTCGGCTTCGATGCTCTGAAGTCTACTCTCACTGTCCTCAAGTGCTATTTCGAGCTCTCTCACACGCGCTTCAAGCCTTGATTGGATGACTTCGTGTAGTCGCACACTAAGCTCCCAAGGGGGAACCGTGTAGTTGCCCGAGGAAGTAATCTCACTTGCATCTTGATTTTGCTGAAACTTAGGACTTAGCTCATTCATCATGTCAGCCCACAACACACCTTCAGAGAAATCTTCTGTGATTTCTTGATCAAGCTGCAAAATGAAATTGCTCTATATTAACACAAAACAATGAGTAGTACTATTCTATCTCAGAAGGAAAAGAAGAAAGATAAAAGCTAAAGAACTTCAACACTATCAATCTAATACCTCCTCTTCAAGACCCTGGCAAGAATAAGAAGACATATATACGCTGACTACAACACAGCCAAACATTTGAACTCAGAGAACAAACCTATATTCAAAAGAGAAAGATACACAACTTGTGACATCCCCCATCCGTTGGGAGGAGAACGAAACATTTTTTATAAGAGTGTGTGGAAACCTCTTCCTAGCAAATGCATTTTAAAAACCTTGAGGTGACGCCCAAAGAGGACAATATCTGCTAGCAGCGGGCTTCGACCGTTACAAATGGTATCATAGCCAAACACCGAGCGAGGTGCCAGCGAAGAAGTTGAGCCTCGAAGGGGGGTGGACACGAGGCGATGTGCCAGCAAGGACGCTGAGCCCCGAAAGAGGGTGGATTGGGGTGTCTCACATCGATTGGAGAAGGGAACAAGTGCCTGCGAAGACGCTAGGCCCCGAAGGGGGTAGATTGTGAGATCCCAGAACGAAGCATTCTTTATAAGGGTGTGGAAACCTCTTCTTAGCAGACGCGTTTTAAAAACCTTGAGAGCTCGAAAGGAAAAGCCAAAGAGGACAATATTTGCAAGTGGTGGGCTTGAGCCGTTACACAACTCATAAGGAGTATCCACAAGAACTACTTTCAATTATATACTTAAGTTTGGAAAAAGAAAAAGAAGACTGCAGAGAAACAATGAAATCATGCGTAAACACATAAAGCAGAAATGTTCAACAAAAAACGCCACAGTGTTTGTATTCATTCACATGCTTAATGATGCAATCAATAGACACGATTACCTCATGACGATCATAAAATCTTTTATCCGTACTCGACGTATCGATATTTAGTCCCAACCTCTGAAGTTCTGCTTCAAGCTCAGCTTCAATTTTACTCAGAGATTCTGATCCCTCTTCAGCACTCTGTATGAATAATTCCTTATCATCAGATTTAGCTGAAGGAACAGGATTCTGTTCTTTCGTACTGAACAAAGAATTCTCAGATATGCCAAGTGATTCACAGTTCTCATTTGAAAGCTCCTCGACTGTCAGAAGAGTATCCCTCATCTCAAGCTCCTCTTGTAGATCTTGGACCAAGTTCTCAGTATCCTTTAATAACTCTTTGAGCTTGTCTATTTCACGCTTTTTCGCCATGAAAGATGATATTAAGCCGATCGAAATCCTGAGATAGAATAGAATCACTCGATCTGGTGACCAAAATAAAATTAAATTTAGGCACAATTTGTGAAATGGTAACCAATTAAGAATGCTGATGATGAACACCAAGAAACAATCAAAAGCTTTACAAATACCAATTGCCCATGCTTGGATCATCATAACATTACAATGGCTCACAACAATCCTTCAAGCAACCTGCTATAAAATTTTGAGACCTAAAGAGGTTTACGTTCGGAGCAACTCGCCTAAGATTCTTATAATTCTAACAGTTATAAGACGTTTATTTCTAAGTTACCGAGTCGATTCTTGATAGAAACGAAATAATATTCTATTAAGCAAATAATTTAGTGAAACCATGGAGTTATCTCATTAAAGTTCACCTTTTGCACGGGCGAGCTTCTCGTTGTGCATTTGACTGGCACTGCTCGCTCCACATTGTCTTCCTCCTCCGTTGATGTCTAGCATCTCAGCGGTCTTCAAAGACTGTCTTTTTGGAAGCAAAGGTATCCCATACACATCTTTGTTCTTTTCAGTAAAAGGCTCTTTATAGAAGTTACTTGCGTCCAGATCAACCTGAAGACAAAAAGAATCTCTAAAATCCTTGCCGATCCGGGTTCCATCTTTTACAATGAACCGCCTGATAGTTGATTTAGATGCTGACTGAAACGAATGTAGGATATACTCTTCCATTTCAATATGTTCCTTGTAGAGATCAGACAGCACACAACTTTCTAGTGAACTAAGAGATCGAATAAATCTCCGATTTGAATGTTTATGTCTAAGAGGACCTATTTTTGGCATAGTAGGCCGAAAACAGCTCAGTTCACTAGAAGACGAACAAGGTAGCTGATCAGTCGTATGATCATTCAAATAGCTCAATGATAATTCTAGTGGAAAATTGGACACGGGAAGACCATCATAGTCCCGGTAATTCCCCAAATTTTCTGTCTTTTCGAAATCTAAACCACTAGTAGAGGCCACATTGAATCGACTCCGAACAGAATCTCTCCCATTCGAAACCTCTCGATCGGCAGCAAGAATATCTCCATGTGTTTTCGTTCTTCGTTCTGTTCGGTGGAAGGGATGATTCATAGATCCTACTTCCTCATTAGTAGACATCTGATACGAACTACTCCCATCTCCCAACAGTTTCTGCCAATACTTAGCTAAGTATCCAGCACCAGCGGCAGTTGCAGCTACCCAAAAGTTCATTTCAGCGCGCTCCCTTCCACAGTCAAACGAAGCAAACCAAATTCCAAAATGCTAATCTTCCCTTTTGTTCTAACTCCCATGATCAGACACAAGAGACGCCAATGTCCATCAATACAGCAAGCGCAATTCTTCCCAAGATTACATTCAGTAAACCAAACTAGCAAGTCCCATTTCCACATAAAATCAACTTGATACTCAGAAGGGGTACCTGGGCGACATCTTTACCGTGAAAGTAACGAACTAGCAGCCTCAAACACGAAATGAAACAGACTTCAATTTCTTGGCAGCAAGAACTAACAGTGTAAATTCCTCCTAAACCTAGAAGAAACAAACGATCTGACAATGAGCAGACGGAGAGACTGAACAGAACAAATATAAAGCCAGTTAACGTGCATCAAAGAAACAACCAACACCACCGAGAAGCCATTTGTTAGTAGACGTCAAATTTTAACAATACACAATCGAAAGCAGCTCTGCACCCTCAAATCCAATAAACAAAAAGAAAAAAACACAGAAAAACCCACAACCCACCAACAAAGAGGAAAAACTCTCAACCCCAAACAGACGGTTCATGCAAATCAACAAAGCAATACCCATTCGAGAACAGCCCCTCTGCCGCAGAACCCATCAACGGAATTGCAAATTCCCATAATCAACAGAATGAACACGAAGCTGACAAAATGGTAGAAGAAGCTTGAAGAACAGAGTGAAAAATGGGTCTAAAAAATTGTGATTCCGAACGAGATCGAGAAATCAGGAGGTCCCAGACCAGCGAAACAATGTGAGCTTTTGAAGGTGTCGTTATCGTCGCAGCCACGGTTGTTGAATGGCTCGGAAGATTAAGACCCGCTGCTCCGTTATCTACTAAGGTAACCAAGGGCCAGTATACAAGTACATGTACAAATTATAAATTTCCTTTTCCGGATTTATAAAAAAAATCTATTAAACAATTATCTATTTTTCTTTTTATTTAAATAACGTAATTGTTTATTATCGACTTAGATTAGTTATAATGATTAAAAAAAAAACTTAATTTTTTCTTTCAAAATATTTGTTTAAGAAAATAATATTATTAATTTTTTTCGGCTAATTTATAAAAATTAATTATGTAAATAATTTTAACATCTTACATATTCTTAAAATAATATCGATTATTTAATAAAATTAATTATTAGAAAAAAAATAATTTTTATACCAAATTAAGAAGGCCACTTCATAATATTTAGTGAATTTTTCACATGAATTTCACCGTTTCCCATCCAAACATTAGCAAATAAAGTGAATGTTCCTTCCCAATCCAATAAATAATAATAATAATAATAATAATAATTTAAAGATGAGATGTTATTATTATAAACTATTTATATATCAAGACAATGCCACAAATAGAACTTTCTAAATACAATCATAAAAGATGATCTCAAAATATATAGAAAAAAAAAATCCATAATTTGTTGAAATATTTTATGATGAATTAATATATTAATTATATATATAAAGAATTTGTTACAAGTGATAAAGAAAGTGTATATTAAAAGTGATAAAAATATAATAATTGGCGGGAAATGGACCGACAATTACAAAAAGGGCATTGGTTTTTTTGGAAAGGGAATAAAAATGAAGGGTTAAAAAGGGAAAAAAAGGTGCTAATTAGGCAAACAGATGACTGATTAAGAAGCAAACCTACCTTTTATAAACTTTATTGATTTAGAAAGAGGATTTGAAAATGATTAAGTTGTTTGATCATTCGATCCAAATCATCTTCCAATGTTACTTTTTAATTGATTTTTATATTTTTAGTTAAACGGAGACAATTTGATTTTATGCATCAATTTTGTTCGTATACTTTTAAACAGGCTTTTGCCCATTATACAAAATTTCTCTATTTTCGATTGACTGTATGTGTCAATTTTATTTGTATAGTTCTAATTTAACAGAATTAAGTCGATCTCAACTAATTCGGTTTAAATTAATTGAATAATAAAACAATTTACATAGATTTTTTTTTTTTTTTTTTTTGTCAACGATAAAATGCCAACAAAGGACGTTAATTAAATGAGGATGAAAACATGAAAGAAAGAAGCTGAGGTGTCATTAATGACCCACAAAAGGAAAACGCAAGAGATCATAGGAGACATTGACCAGTGAGAGGGTCCTTTGTAACTTTCGTAAGAGCCATTGCTTATTGGTTGGTTGATGAAGTAAACAATCCAGATGGATACAAGCGTTACATTAATTGTTATATAGACCCACAAGGTCGATTCTGTAACATCACCCATAAATAAGTGTATTCATGGATTTTTTAATAAAAATAATTTTAAAAATTAAATTATAAATTTAGTAATTCAAGAATCAATTTTATATCTTCATCCCTAAATTATCAAATTTATATGTAAAAACACTACTACTACAATTTCAAAACAAGACCAATTTATCACAAAATTAAAAATTTTAAAACTAGACAACACATACACAAACCACTTAAAAAGTTAAGAAAATTTAGCAGGAGAAAAATAGAAATGAAAATAAATTGACAAGTGCCATTTTTCACATACATCCTCGAATAATGCTAAAGATTAGTCCAGGGCAAAATGTTCATATCTTTACTTTTCTCGTATAGGAACTTAGCTCAAGACGATAGACATATTGAAGATTGTTGGGAGGAACCCAACGTTGGTTAATTAAATGAAAGATGAAAGATCATGAATTTATAAGTAAGAAATCTTTTATTAATTAGTATGAGGCGTTTTAGGAAACCAAAATTTTGGTATTTATAATTGAGGTCGCACAACTTGGTTAGATGGCCATTGATTTGACTACAAACTACAGTAATGCATGTGTTTTTTAAACCTAGTTGGTTGCAGGAAGCATTGTAGCAGGAGTTATCCTTTCATGGAGGAACCCATCTTGTTTGTGATTTTCCAAGAATTAGTAGCTGTCTATCCAATGTCTATCCAACAAAGCAACTGAAAAAATGGTAAAGCCAGTTTTCTCAGCTCAACTTTTGTATGTGTGTCAAAGATTCGCTTTGAAATTCTGCACCATCCATTGATCATGAGGTGACAATATTTCAGATAATAGGGGAAATTTTGCTAACCCAAAGTGCCCACACAGAAACAGAAAAGCAGAAATATGAACTCTAAACAAAGAAAATCCATCATATCTTTTCTTTGAAGTATTTTCTAAATGCTCAACTTTAAAGCAGATTTTGATTTGTACTTTTTTTTTTTTTTTTCTTGCTTTTTGAAGACTTGGATGTATATAGCAATTCCAGTTTTGTTATATACTGGAGAGAGGGCTTTTAGAGCAATTCGATCTTGTTTGTACCAGGTGAAAGTCTTGAAGGTACTCCTACTTTACTTTCCTTTTGCTTTCAAATTTAGAGGAGATGAGAGCAACGACCTAAAATATGAGTATTTGACAGCAGCTGTATGTTTATTATGTATTATATGCAGGCAAGGACTTATTCAGGAAAAGTTTTATTTCTCCAATTGAGCAAACCAGAGAGATTCAAGTACCGAAGTGGAATGTATGTATTAATTCAATGCCCTCAAATCTCCCCATTTGAATGGTAATACGTCCTAATGAGTTTCAGTCTTCTAAGTTCTAACAGCTATTCTCATTGATTCTTCACCACAAGAAACGCACCTCAGCGTGCATATCAGAAATCTGGGAGATTGGAGTAATGAGCTGTACAGCCTGTTTCACAAGGTCATTGTTCAAGGTAATTGGTGGGAGGGTTAAAATTTTACATTTATCTTAAAGCACCATCTTTCTTGCGCTATGGTTTAGTTCGTATAGATAATAAGTAAATGACGTGTGATTTTTCATGAGAACTTAGATTATGAAGGAAAGAAGAGAGAGCTGATGTAAGTACTAGAAACATTCTCTTGGACTAGGTTGAGCATTCTAAATTACTGCATAGAGGTAAAAGGGAGTCGTGATCAGGCCTAAAAGGGAGTCGTGATCAGGCCCAATCTCAATTATACAATATGATTTAAGGAAATATCTCTTGGTTCAAAGGAGTACCCAAAATATTCATTGATGGACCCTACGGTGCTGCTTCTCAAGACCATGTCAAGAACAACCATGTGGTGCTAATTGGCCTGGGTATTGGAGCCACACCCTTCATGAGCGTCCTAAAAGATGTTCTGAACAGGTTAACTGAGACATGTGATGGTCATGTAAGACTTCTTCCCCCTATGATTTGATTTCTTCAATATCCTTCCACAACTTACCACCAACAAAGTTTGACTGTGGTTTAAAACTGAGTAGACTGACAATGGAAGAGGAAGCCTAAGTACATCCAAAATTTATCTTTACTGGGCAAGAGAGCAAAGCTCCTTTGATTGGTTTAAAGATTTCATGAACGATTTAACACTTTCAGACCAAACTCAGGTAAAAGCCATATTACTAAATACTCTAGTCCTGCAAAATATGTTTTGAGATCTGCTGATTTGCATCTTGTATATTTAAAGCATTCTGATGTCATGATGCTCTTAGTCAGCTGTAGAGATGCACAATTTCCTCACTAGTATATATCATAAAGGGGATGTAAGGTCTGTTCTAATAAGAGCAATTCAAGCCCTGCATTATACTCGAAGGGGTATCGACATTGTCTCCAAAACTCCTGTAAGTTTCCATTTACACTGCCTGAATCTAAGATAAAGTTATACCAATGGCTAGCTTACCTTGTCTAAGAATTGAAAAAGGAATATCTAATTCCCATAAACAAACTTGATCTAGATGAAGAACATGAAGAACAAAAGAGAGAAGTAAATGGAGAAATATACAAGGAGACACCTGAATGTAAAACTCTAGATAAGATAATAGAGAAGGTGGTTTGATTCTGAACAGGGGTTTTCTACTGTGGTCCTTCGGCATTGGCAAGAGAACTGGAGGGCTATGCACCAAGTTCTCCACCAAAACCTCAACTAGATTTGTATTCCATAAGGAGAATTACTAGATTAACTTTGTTTTTCGAGTACAACAGCCAAATAAATAGGTATATGTACTACTTCACTCCAGCCAGAAATAATTCACAATAAATTGGTATATGCATGTGTACTATTTCAATTGTAAAAGATTGAAATAAGTTGAAATAGCACCGCTTCCGCAGGTGGAAATGGCAGAACAGCCAAATAATAAATTATATCATTACGGTGTATTACTTCACTCCAGCCTCGTCCCTATTAGTATCTAAAGCGGCTTAAGCGACGTTATCTCATATGCACTGATATATCAGTAAATTAAAACAAATTTCAAGACAGGCAATAAACTGAAAACAAAAAGAAACCAACTAGAAGTTTGATGAATGGTAAATTACTAAGCTCGGGCAGAAGAAACGTACCGAAGGCGCCATCCAGACAATACGCTTGAATGTGCTATCTTTTTTCTCCAAACCTGGCAGGCGAACATCTCGTAATCATCAACCCAACGCCGCTCATACAATCTCTTCTGACATATACCATAATACAACAAGAAGCATCACTAACCGGAAATAAAACAAAACAAGTAGAAGCGTGTTCAATTCTGGAGTTCATTTATGCAAATAATAGTTATGAATCAGACCGATCCAATTAATCAACAATATAATCAGCTAAAACGGTCGGATGATTCTCCGTCCAAAACGAAATCGCTCAATCGCGATTTAGGAAGACGATGGATATGCTATAAGCTTCATGTAAAATTGAAAAGTTTAATTCGTGCGATGGAGACATAGGGATGCTACCTGTTACTGCGAGACGCACGAACATTCAGCCGAAGAACAACTCAAGCAATTCAAATGCAGCAGCGGTGTAATGGCGTAGAGAGCAGAGCAGATAACTGACAGCCACCCGCCGAAGCGCGCGATTTTTCTATTGTGAAATGTCCCGCCATAAATAAAATGGGTAAAAAGTTCGTAATCTTAAATAGAATTACTTTATTTTTTTTCTTTTTAATTTAATTTCAACCTTTTTATTTTAATCTTAAATACAATTAAAACCTATTTTTATCAATCGAACTATTTACTGTATATTGGGGTAAAAAGTTCGTAACTGCAATTTTATCTGAGCCCTAATTTTTTCCTGTTCCGAAACTCAATAGTCAGTACTGAAACAAATGGCCACCATGTCCGCCGGAAAACTTTGAGCACCTCAAGCTCGCCCACCGCATCTCGAATGGCGGCTCATTCCTCAACTTCCAGTAATAACCGAGCTTTGAGAACCGCAAATTCTAATCAGTTTTTTGGTGAGCGTTTTTGGATCTTACTTTTTCTAGCTGGAAATCGTTTGCTCAATGCGTTCCAGGTTTAATCGTTTACATCAATTACTATATTGAACTTACCAGTAGAGTATCAGTGGCAATTTCGTGTGAAATGTAGGAAATGAGAATCAAACGTGCTCGGATTTCTGAAAATTGGGATCTAACGGAAAAATCTACTGTGCCACACAAAGGAAGGATGATGTAGAATCTTTCATCATGAAAAACTATTAGTAAAATAACAGAGATTTATGAATCGAGCGTTTGCTTGCCGAGTGCTTCATAGGTTTTGTGTATTGTTCGAAGCAGCAGAGAAGAAATTTAAATAGCTGCATAATTTTAGTGAATAATCAGCTTCTTAGTCTTGTAGCACAAGTAGGGATTTACGGATCGAGCGTTTGCTTTCCGAGTGCTTCATAGGTTTCGTGTATTGTTTGAAGCAGCAGAGAAGAAATTTAAATAGCTGCATAATCTTAGTGAATAATCATCTTCTTAGTCTTGTAGCACAAGTAGCGAATTGCTATTAAATTTGAATGTATAGAGATGCTTTATTACGAACATGCTATCTCTTCCTGCAGAATGGAGGGAGTTTGTATGGGGAGCTATAGCTGGAGCATTTGGAGAAGGAATAATGCACCCTATTGATACCATCAAGACTCGGATTCAAAGCCAGGCTATTCTATATGGAAGTCAAGTATGATGTATATGAGAGCTCATGAATTGTGTCTGTTGATGAAAATACTTTAATCTTATCTTCAGGATATCAGCTTGGTGAAAAATTAAAATTTCATTCAACCACCATGTTTGATCAATAAATTCAATCTAAATATTAAGAGTTTGCTGCGGCATTTAATCAATATAGATCCAGTCCCCCCTCTCCCTCCATTCCCCTGAAGACTGTCTATTTGGCAATTCCTAGCTCTAAAATTTGTTCACTGTTCATCAAATTTCTTTCAGAATCAAAAGAGCCTGTTACATATGGTCCAATCAGTATGGAAAATTGACGGATTAAAGGGTAACCCTTTTTTTTCACTATCGGCTAAAATTTTTGTCTCTTTACGTTCTCGTGTTATTGTAATAAGTTCAAATCTCTGTCACGTATTTGACTGTGCTGTATTATTTAGTTCTTTATCCTCATCTAATAGCTGTTTAGGCTTTTATAGGGGCATAGCTCCCGGAGTTACTGGTTCACTTGCCACTGGAGCTACATATTTTGGTGTTATTGAATCCAGTAAGAAATGGATTGAAGAAAGACATCCTAACCTTGACGGTCACTGGGTTCATTTCATTGCTGGAGCAGTTGGTAAGCAATCCTGGGTGTTCCGAAAACCTCTCTCACTTTTGAGCCATGCCGCATCATGATCATTACTATACCCCTTTTGACAAAGTTCTGTACTGATGTATTTATCCTTGTTTCATTATAAACTAGTTAACGAGATTCAGTACACTATTTTCTTCACGTCATACATATTTTAGTTCAGCTATTACATTTTCTTGGACTCATAGATTATGTTTTATGTCTAAATGATGTAGTGTTCGCATATGTGAACGAGGGCTTTTCTTTTTTTGTTTTGCAAAGACAGTGACCCAAGACATCGATAACGAGTGAACTTAATTTTATTTTTTGACCCAAACCTCCAATGCTAACTATTGAAAATCAAAGCCTGTGTGAGTGAAGATCACAATAAGCTTTTACACGCTTCATGATGTCACTCTTTTCTTCCTTCTTTTTCCATTCAGGTGATACACTGGGTTCATTTGTATATGTTCCATGTGAAGTTATGAAGCAGCGAATGCAAGTTCAAGGCACTAGGTCATCTTGGAATTCCCTTCCCATGAAGAATAATATCTCTATGAATCCTGGTAGGCCAATGTATGGCTATTATTCAGGGATGTTCCAGGCTGGTCGTTCAATCTTGAAGGAACAAGGATTAAGAGGATTATATGCGGGGTCTGAACTCTGAACCAGATTTATTTTATCTCTTGGATTTTTAAATTTTTTGTTGTAAAACATACTGAAAGTGAAATATAATTACTGCATGATTGTGACCCTCTCCCATGTATTGTTCCAGATATTGGTCTACACTTGCTAGGGATGTGCCGTTTGCTGGTCTAATGGTATATAAAGTTCTGAATCTGTGTACCTTTGTTTGAGTGTCTGACTTTTTCCCCGGATCGTTTTCATTGTATTGATTTTTCAGTTATGTATCTGCAGATATTATTGTCATGTTAGATTCCAAGTATAATTCTTAGTTGCTTATTGATAAATCTAGAAAAAAGATCTCTCATGCGTGCACACACACAATTCTGTATTTTTTTTTTTATGTATTTATCAATTAAATGCATTCGTTAACACACTGCAGGTCATGTTTTACGAGGCGCTGAAGGATTTCACCGAGTTTGGGAAGCGAAGATGGATGCCTAATTCAGATGTTAATAGCTCCTTGGAAGGACTTGTGTTAGGGGGATTAGCTGGTGGTATGCATTTTGATATCCCTTCATCATTACTAATTAAGTTACGTAGCTTTTAATTTTTCCTTTCCCTTAAACGTTCAATTTTATGATCGCATAATATATGGTTCTGAAATTGTTAGGTATGAGTGCTTATCTGACTACTCCCCTGGATGTGATAAAAACAAGAATACAAGTTCAGGGATCAACTTTAAGGTATCAGATGATACTCAACCTGCTTGAATATGTTTTTTGTAGTGAAATTTCACTCTTTACAATCAATGTGTATCGACTTGGTAAACCTCGATTCAAGATGGCGATTATATGCAGTACTTTCTCTAAAATCTTAGGTATAACGGCTGGTTCGATGCGGTGAGAACTATCTGGCGGAGCGAGGGAACGAAGGGAATGTTTAGGGGTAGCATACCCAGAATCACATGGTATATTCCAGCTTCTGCTCTAACTTTTATGGCTGTGGAATTTCTGAGAGACCATTTCAATGAGAGATTGGATGTTAAATACAAAAACGAAGCTGCTACTTTATTAGTTGATAGAAGAGGAACATTATGAGAAGCAGCATTACCTGCTCGAGACTGAATTGAGTTTCGGTCCATCATCGACTCTTGTCGAATTTTGCAGATAAACATTATATGTTTTTCAGTACCAATCAATCAAGAGGATCATTAATCCATGACTTGGGGAGTGGTCTGTGTTTATTATGTGAGAGACCCACAACCAAGACATCAGAAGCAAAAGAAATGAGTAGATAGACAATAATGTTAGTTATCCATCCTTGAGGTCCTGTTCCTTCATGTAATCTCAATTCTTTGGTTAGCTACAGCCCACAGGTTTAATAAACTGGTATAAACTCCAATAGAAAAAAGAGAGAAAAGAGTACACATTTGAGTGCTCTATATGACCATGGAAGGTGTTCAAGGGAATGTTATTACATCCTTTGAATCTTTAATTTGGATATGATTCAAATTGTATAAATAGGAATGTGAATCTTATTTTAATTCCAAACTTTCAAATTTGTTCTATTTTTGTTTTTAAACTTTCTAAACATTTTGTTTAGAAGCCGAAAATGTTTATTTTAGCCTTTAAAATTTTAAATTTGTTCCGTTCTTAAATTTTGTAAATATCTATTTTGGTCTTTGAACTTCTTTTGAGTCTACGGTTAGTAGATAACTTCCTAGGTCTTAAGAGGTTAATGTTCGGGTTATCTTTCTTTTTATTTTATTAAATTACTGGTTAGGAAAATATTAATTTATACCCCTAAATTTTTTATTTTATTAAATTACTTGTTAGGAAAATTAATTTATACTCTTAAAACTTGGAATGCATCGATTAAAAGTCAAATTGATAATTCTATCAATTCAATTTTTTTTTTTTTTTTTTTTTGAAGTGAATTAATGTAAACTGCGATAATTAAATACATGGTAATAATAAAATTATTAAATTTGTGTGATTTTTCCTGAATGCAATAAATAATGATGTGAAAGATAATGTTTGTCGTGCATTAGTTTAATTATAATTTAAAATAAAATAATAAAAGGACTATCCGCGTATTGCAAAATATTTCTCAATTTGATACTTGATAGTGATGGCTTTTAACTTTCTATATAAATATTGAATTCGAATTCGTCAGCTGAGCCAAAATCCCATAGCAGCAGAAGGAGAAGAATCCCTGATTGTGAGTCTGCCATGGCGTCCGGCAAGCGATGCCATTACGAGGTCCTCGGCCTCCACATCGACTGCACCGCCGACGAGATTCGATCGGCGTACCGGAAGCTAGCCCTCCAACGCCATCCCGATAAGCTTGTCCAGTCCGGTTTGTCACAATCTGATGCCACCGCTCAGTTTCAAGAGCTTCAGCACGCGTACGAGGTCCTCTCCGATCCTAAAGAACGCGCCTGGTACGACTCTCATCGTTCCCAAATCCTCTTTTCTGATGCCGGATCGGTTAATTCCAACTCTGTTCCGAATCTATTTCCATTTTTCTCCAATACCGTTTATTCTGGCTATTCGGATTCTGGACGAGGGTTCTATAAGATTTATTCCGACATTTTTGACAAAATTTACGGGAATGAGATTAACTTCGCAAAGAAATTAGGATTGCGCTTGGATACGGTTCGCAATGCTCCGGTCATGGGGAATTTGGATGCTCCGTACACGCAGGTGACTGCGTTTTATAATTACTGGCTTGGATTTTGCACGGTTATGGATTTTTGCTGGGTTGATCAGTACGATGTCATGGCCGGTCCAAACCGGAAATCGAGGAGGCTAATGGAGGAGGATAACAATAAGCTGAGGAAGAAGGCAAAGAGGGAGTACAATGAGACAGTAAGAGGTTTGGCCGAGTTTGTGAAGAAGAGGGATAAGAGAGTGACTGATATGGCTATGAAAAGGAACATAGAAATGGAGAAGAAGAAGGAAGAGGAGAGGGAAAGGAAAAAGAAGCTAGAGAGGGAGAAGATGGAGAAGCTTAAGGCATTCGAAGAAGCGGATTGGGCAAAAGTTGAGGAAATTGAGGAGGATCCGGAAGATGAATCTGAGGAAGAGAAGAGAGCGAAAGAGCTGTACTGTGTTTTGTGTGGGAAAAAGTTCAAGAGTGAAAAGCAGTGGAAGAATCACGAACAGTCAAAAAAACACAAGGAGAAGGTTGCAGAGTTCAAGGAATCCCTTGACGACGAGGAAGAATCTGAAGAATTTGTTGATGAAGGACAAGATGAAGAAGAAGCCACACTGCTGGATGTTGGGATAGATAAACTAGAGGAGCAGTTCAAGGAAAGTTTTGATATTGAAGCAGAAGAAGCTGAGAGCGGGGCAGAACTTAGTGGGAGTGAATATTATGATGTTCATGATGTCGATCGATCAGATATCGTTGCTGAGGAACTTGGATCCAATGACGACGACAACGAAACAGATATTCTTGAAGCAATGGCAGCTGGGCTGCGAAATAGGAAAAATGCAGCTTCATTGAATCAGCCTAAAGCTTCCTCAGACAAAGCTCATTTTGAAAATGAGAACGATGACCCTCAGCAACGATCAGATATCGTTGCTGAGGAACTTGGATCCAATGACGATGACGACGAAACAGATATTCTTGAAGCAATGGCAGCTGGGCTGCGAAATAGGAAAAATGCAGCTTCATTGAATCAGCCTAAAGCTTCCTCAGACAAAGCTCATTTTGAAAATGAGAACGATGAGCCTAATCCATCAGAGTTCGAAAATGTTAGGAGGGGAGGAAAGAATCGTCGAGCTAAAAAGAATGGCAAGGGAAATGATGAAGCTAGGAATGAAACCGAACCCGATTCTCAAAATGACAAAAACAACGGAGACGATACATCATATCAGCAGGATTCCCCTTCCAATTCGTTGGCTAAAGAACAAAGGAATTCAACTCAACCAGCTGATCGGAAAGCAGTTGCACAGAAGGACACAAAGACCAACAGTAGGAACTCATCTAAAGGGAAGAAATCCAAGGTAATTGACATTCTGCAGAACTGAGTTCTAATTTCATCATTTATTTTAGCCATACTATCAGTAATATGCAACAACACTTCATGTCCTGAACTATGAGCATCCATATTAGCTGAATATGAAAGATATCATGTGTTCTTAAATTAAGGAAGTTGAACATCAGCTTGTTAAGCATCCATATTAGATTAATGTTCTACTTCCCTCTTGTTAGACTATTGATTATAGTGATTTCTGCTCACAATTTCTAATGATGTAAAATCTTAAACTTAGGCAACATCTAAGGATTCTGGCAATTCATGCGAAACATGTGGGGAGCAGTTTGAATCAAGGTAATCCTTGTTTAGAACTTCTAGACTATTTTTCACCATCATATATCCTTTCATACCTTATAATAACACAATAAGTTTTAGATTGACTGCACCAAATTGAAGAGGGTTTTTGATATATCATGACAGGAATAAACTGCATAAGCATTTGGGAGCCACAGGGCATGCTGCGTTAAAATATCGATGACAGAAGTTCGCATCGACATCAATTTTTGACAGGTCACAGGATTTTGAATCAAGTTCCATAACACATTCAATGAGAGTTTAAATTTTTAGCAACGACACAAATTGCAGAGCGACAGCAGACTTGCAGGATGTTATTCCATGGCCGACCAAAGTACCTAATGAGAAGTAAGGAGTATAGTAGTGTATACATATTCGTTGTCTATCCAGAAAGATGTTTGGAAACGATGTGATTCTTCACATTTCATCGTTCTATTGTAAACTGCAAGAATCCAATGGTTTAAACCTTGAGCTTTATTTAACAAAATCTAATACGATTTGAGTTGCTCTTACAAGCATATGTCCTCAGATCTTTTTTTGATCTTGTACTGATGCTGAATACCGACCCAATCTCGAGGTATTTCTTAACCTTCACTAATGATTTCAGTGGTAAAACTTGACCTTGTTTTTCACTCGTTCAATACCAGTCTGCACTCTTCAGTTGCTTGGTATAAAATTGTTTCATCTCCTACAGGGTGTAATGTCCCACATTGGTTGGGAAGGAGAACAAAACACCCTTTAAGGGTGTGGGAACCTTTCCCTAGCATACTCGTTTTAAAGCCTTAAGGGGAAGCCCGAAAGGAAAAGTTCAAAGACGACAATATCTGTTAGTGGTGGATCTGGGCCGTTACGAATGTTATCAAAGCTAGACACCGGACGATATGTCAGCCTTCTCACTGTTCCCTGAAGGGGGGTAGACACGAGGCGGTGTGCCAGTAAGGACGCTTGGGCCCTAAAGGGGGTGGATTTTGGGGGGTCCCACATCAATTGGAGGAAGGAGCGAGTGCCAACGAGAACGCTGGGCCCCGAAGGGGGGTGGATTGTAATGTCCCACATTGGTTGGGGAGGAGAACAAAACACCAATTTAAGGGTGTGGGAACCTTCCCCTAGCATATGCGTTTTAAAGCCTTGAGGGGAAGCCCGAATGGAAAAACCCAAAGAGGACAATATCTGCTAAAACGGTGGATTTGGGCCAATACACGAGGAGTCTAATTATTACACATAATGATGACATTATGTGCATATACATAAAGTAAAACTAAAAACAACCCAGAAAAGACAATCTATGCACCAATTTAATTACCACAAAGTAACAAACTACAGAATAAAGAGCATGTCAGAGTGAGTTCATCAACTAATGGTCTCTCCTAATTTCATAAATAAGAAACAGGAAGGTTGCAAATGAGGGGATTGCGCTTACAGTGGCTTAGTTAAAGCCTTCTGAATGTAAACCAAAGCTTCCTCTTTCGAAAGTGGTCCTGCTGCAAGGCCTTTAACAAGGGTATCAACGTACCCTTTGGCTGGTGCACAGAGAGGAACCTTTCCAGATTTGAAGTCTTCCATATCCAAATGCGAACATCTGAAATCAAATGGAAGTACATCATTTTACTACTAAATGGTGGTTCTTACATGACTTAAATTGCACAGAACGATAAGGAGATTCGAGGCGTACGTCATAGTTACTATTGGAAGTTCGTGTTCTTCCCCCAAGTATACAAGGTTGTGGTACCATCCTTGCTGCAAAATAATTCAAGCGTCGCTTAAGAAACGATCAAGAAACGAATTCGCTTTTATAGGAGAGAAGCTAGATAGTTTACATACCCCTGTTGAAATCTCAATAGATGTGGAAGCGTTGCCTGTGAGTTTGTTCAAATTAGCTATATCCAATAAAGGGTTATCAGAAAGGAAGCCACTTCCACTGTTTTCTTGATACAAAACATCGTTGAATTGCTCTAGCCTGTAAAGAGAAGATCCAGAACAAGAATTAAAAGATAAATTTAAGATTTTGTGCTAGAAAACATGAGTTCGAGTGGGGGATCCCGTAGTCGAAAACATTAGGAGAAACAAGAAGCTATTGATATTAACTCACGTAATTCTATACAAGCAC